TTAATCTCATGATTTGTTTTTCCTACGAGCGTATGTCTTATCTTAAGATACAATTTATTAACTTTGTCGTCTGCTAAAGCCGTGTTGATACAGGGGCTAAAGAGGCAATAATCAACTGATGCCAAACGACAGATAATTGTCTATTTGGGCATTTTAAGATTGTTATGTCGGCAAAATATTGACAAAATACGGAACAAGGCCAAAACTGCTGATGGTAATCATGATTTTAATGTTTATGAACGAGACGCTTATATCGGACAAGATGTCAAAAATTTCTGAGAAATTCCATCAAATGATGTATCAATGTCAATTGAGGAACAGAAAGACGAAAGAAAAAAATGAAGAAGTTCTTAAAAGTAGTGCTGATGTAAGAAATTACTGATATGTAAAAATATGGGTTATTGTACCATAAGTTTGATTTTTTTCCGTTTTGTTAGATTTCATCAATTGCATATAATTCTACGTTTAGAACAGTGGAGCATTGACTTTAACACCAGGTGAAGCATGCTGTCAATGATTTAAGACCCCCACCAACCGCGCTTACATAACTAGTAAAATGCTATCCCCTCTCCGTATTCTGTAATTACTTAGCATTACCCCTTGTAGAAATGGTATGACACCCTCAAGTAAAAAAAAACAAAACACTGTTTAATGATAAATCCGTTAGAGCGGTTATGCAAAAGAAAATTGCTTAATGTTGACAAATGAACATTAAACGACATTGATGTAATGTATAAATGTTCAAGTTCCAGTCATATATTCTTTATTTCATTCATGTCTTTGAGGTTTGTTGTGAAAATCAAGATCATGGAAATCAGTAGCTTTCAAATAATGCACGCTTGATTACTTATTGGCGGATAGTTAAAGATTCCGGGGACATCGTAACGACCGAATATTCATAATAGCTCTATTAGTGGGCTCATTTTATTCCATTCCCTGTCAACTAGACATCTAAACGTCTCTGATGATACATAAGAATTGAATTTCATTATTTATATTTGATGTGGTCTTTACACAATGTTTCCATGTTTAAAGCGTTTCTGTGTTCCTTTTATGTTTTCATTTTTCAATTACATTACCAAATATATATTTATGAACAAATTTCAAGAAGAATTCTTTTGCTTTTCTGCTTTTTCTGTTTAATACCTTAGATTAAATCGTACATAAGTAGTATTAGGCTATATATTTTTAAACAAACCTACCTCTTTGATATTTATATCAGACCTGAAAAAGTATCTCTAGCTAAAAGCTTATTTTATATATCTTTATTTTAGTCTTATGTGGTTACGCTTTTATACATCTTAAGTGTTGCAGTACAGCCGAACATCTCCGACCATTTATATTTATACAAATTTTAAAAATTGACTGTGTTTTCATGTTTGCGTTTTCTTTTCACGCCTCGTTCCTGCAGGAACCTCGCCCTATATCCGGGGCGTTGGTGGTGAGTGCGACTTCATTTTAGCTTATACACTGCAATGTGCTTCTTTAATAAGTCTTTTACCTTTTTTGTAGATTTTGTTGATGTTTGTCTTGATAATCGGTCATCTTTTAGCTTTGATAATGTCAAATATTGCAGAGTCTTGCCAAGCTTCAAAAATTCTTAACTTCTTAAAATATAATTCAAAATTGCTGACCAATAAACGTGTTAAGACTTTGAATAATTGTTAAGCAATATCTCATTTTCTTGAAGAAAAAAAAACCCTGACATTTTAAGACATAAATTTGTATAATTTTTTTTTCTGATTGAATTCATTTTGATGTTTTTTTTTCCACATACGCACATTGCAGTTTTTTATTCGATATTTATATTTAATTATCTTTCACTCTTTTTTCTTATCAAATAGCACTGCTCCTTCCCCCATGTGTGTACATATGTGCTCATGTCTTGTTCACTGTGTCGTCCATTTTACATCTTTTTTCCTTTTTCTTCCGATATATTTTCAAGTCTTTTGTCTAAAATATTGTAGAAAGTTCAAGTGTGGTGATATGTTAAATTGAAAATCGTATTAACATGTATCAGGTACAGAAACTGCGAGTTATTTTGTTAAAAAAAAGATTTAAAAAAATCTGATTAAAACCAATGCTTTCCAAGACTTCTTGAATCAAGGACTCGTTTCTGTGGATGTAAAAATTATGTTTATCAACACTGCTATGCGAACAAGTAAATTCAATTAATATCTTGTAATAATGATGTTTGGGCAGCGAAATATATTAATTCTAAATCAAGAATTACAATATACATGTATTTTTGTTCTGTACTCTATATTTTTGTTGTAACAATTTTTTTTGACTCCATTATTGACAGAAAAAAAATGTCATGATTCCAATCCGTTAATTTTGCGTTATGTAGTTTTCTACATGAATTAAATTAAAAAATGGCGTACCATATATTTTTAGCAACATACATTGCCCTTTTTTTGGAGGAAAAATCATCGATGATTGCAGAACACGTTTGCCAATGTCAGTGCTCATACGTGTTATACCTTATGTCAAGAAAATTAATTCACTCCAACTTTTCTTTTAGTAAGATAAAATTTCATATATTAATATTTGACGCGCTTTGTCAGCTTTTCTAAATTTCAATATATCACTTGTTATGTATGTAAATGATTGACAAATAAAGAACACGATGATATCTATAATTAAATGTCTGTGTGATAGTCTGCTCTTAGATTCCTCATAAAACAATAGTGTTCAATAACATTGATCAGCTGCATTTAGCAGACGCGACGATTTTTATTTGTTTGGGTCGTCAGACCAAAGAAATAATGGTAGCGAAATTTCGGACCCTGATATGCTTATTCGCAAAATCCGAAAGTAGTCCATCACGAATTCCTCGAAGCGGTTACTTCCCTTTACAGTACACTAACGCCGAAAAATTAAGAGAAGATCACTGCGTAAAGATTGTCAAATGACATGCGCATTAATTGTCAAACCTCCGAGGGATGAAAAATAGTTCCCGATTGATCGAAGGTTTCTAATATTTTGTAATTCTTTAACATTTCTGCAAATTACCGGTAATAGATTCAAATAATTTCGTTACGCGGATGAGAATCATTTCAATCAATGAAAATTGCTTGGCCTTTTCCCTAAAATTCGAATTATTTTGATCGCCCAGGGTTTTTTTTTCATTTGAAAGACCCTGGATCGTCTAAATGAACATTTATTTATTTTTTTTATATATATCTTTACGTCTTTATTTCTTTCTGTCTGTGTCTAAGTGATCTGCAGGTGTCATAGAATCTACATAAAACTGGTAAAAGAGGGGGAAATAGTGTGGCATGTATACTCGTTCATTTTCAGATGAATATTCCCCCAAAATTAATGATTTTCTCAAAACTAAATATAGCAAGTTTTGAGTATAATTCCTTTTTCTTGATTATGATGCACGAAAGGTTATGTTGATGCGGTTTCTTTTTATGTGGTTTTTATAACATTAAGCGAAAGGAAATCTTTCGCGAAAAGTTCGTACTATACCTAGAGATAAGACATCTCCGCATCAGGTGAAGAATCTGGCTGTTAAACAATTACTCAAACTGTATCTGACAGTTATCACCCGAAAGTGACTATAACACGTGCATATTCATGTTTTATTCGTGCCATAATACACGCTTTACCATTATATAAAATCAACAATCATTTGACGCATATATACAATATTTGCACCAGTTAACTTTTTTTTGGTGAATTTAAGAAGCAATGATAAAGATTTTAGTAAGATAATATAAGAATATGCGTTTAAATTAATGATATGCATTTCTTAAATGGATTTGTCCAGCTTCCAATTTTGGAACCGTCGATTAATTTTACTGGTCACACTGCACGAAGATATAGACTGTCCTCGCTATATGGATGAGACAGCGACTGAATTCTGTATAGTGCTGACTCATTAGATATTTTGAAACAAATAAATGACTGAAATACGCACACTGATAATGATAATAGAAAGTACAAGAACAACAAAGTCCTATCTTTTAATATTCCAGGTATATAGCTCAAAAGCTAGGCCGGACGTGCCTGTTAAATATTAACAAAAACATTGTTACTTATTGTATCATTCGTAAAGATCGGGTTTTCATGCAACATGACATGAAGACTTAGGTGACCAGATTGGCGTTCCAGTTCTAAATGAACGCTACTTAATATGATTTTTGGTTTTATTAATTTCATCGTTTATTTATTTTCCATCAAAAACTGATCTGAATGTCCGATTAATTTAAAGAAGTAAAATGTTTGTTGTAAGAGATTCTGCAATTGTAACATTTCCACGTGTTTTATATTTATACGAGGAGTTGCACGTTTGTGCTGCAAACGTTATGTCTAAATTATTATTACGAGGACATTCTGTCTAGTTTGCTTAGAACTTGTCAATTCTTTGTCATAGAAAGAAGAAGTTTGTCATAGTACAGGAATGGCCTCTCATAAAGAAAACACTATTATCATGGGGGTAAACATGCAAGTTTTTAACTTCTAGAAATATACTTGCTTTTTCCCGTTGCTCATTTATTTAAGACAGGAAACGAATATACTGTAGACACGTCTGAAGTAAAATATTGACTTATTGTAAGAGAAGTTTGCCAGAGAGGGTGCAGTTTTACGATATATTTCTTGTACAGAAACATTTCCGGGATGAAAATAGGCTGAAACATGCTTGTTAATATAATTAATTTGATCTCCATAGTATAAACTCTTGCTTCAATAGGAACATTGTTCGGAATATGTTCTAAAAAATTTCACCTTCAAGTATAATCATTACATATAGAATTTCGGCTGAATAGGGCTTCTGAAAATAAAAGATATGTTTGTATGCAGTTAATATGATAAGCTTGTTAACATGATCAAAATTGCTTTTTGATATGTTAAGGCTATGAAGCTAAAGAAAATAATACAAAAACTTGTTACAAAAAAAAAGAAAAAAAAGGAGAAAAATCATGCAAATTAAAAGGCATATTTTTGTTATACTCTATATCTAATGCCATGTGTTTTCTTTCTATTTTAAGATACATTTACAGAAGAATGCCGAGGTATGTGTCTACAAAAATTTTAGCATGATGCGTGCATCTCAATAACACAACTGTAAATCAGCACAGTTTCGCGAGGCTATTTCTTTCACTATCTTATTTGAACTTCTTTTTTTTGCAATATCTATTGTTCTTTGGAAATTTGACTAAACTTTACTTTGACTTAAAAATTTCATCATAAAAAAAATATATCCGCTTTTTAATTTTTAAACGCTGAGCTTGAGCTTTTCTCTTCACTTAGTGATCTTTACCGATTTTGCACGACATTCATCGGCATTCTCCTGTATCTTCCGATTTTTTTCCGGAACACTTATAATTTTTCTTAAAATTCTTGGCACTTTACTGTGTAATCTAATTTTTAATTTCCGCTTTCTTACAATTGCATATAATTTGTGATTTTTATACACATTTTATATATTTAATTCATTTTAAATATAATTTGATTAAAAATGTTCAGCACGTGAAAAAGTCTGATTTACAGTAAGTCGCCCATGCCCGAAATAAATTCTCTTTTTTATGTGCAAACGCTTTGATTTTATTTGTGAGTTTTTTCTTCTTATTACCTGAGGAAAGATGATGATTCATACATTATAAGAAAATTAGATAGTATGGCATTAGAGATTGAGCACATCATGTATGATATACAGCATTTATTAATCACTAGTTCACTTTCTTTATATTTCGAAATGTATCTGTCACTATATATTCACTATCACTTCATATCATTTAAAATAAATAAACAATGAAATAAATTACAATAAACGAATAGTTGGCTTAAAACTAGTTGCTGGTCTGGCTCGTCAGTTATGACTATGGTTTCAGCAGGATATAGTACAAAAATTAAAGTAATCTCGTAATTGGTTCTTGTCAAATGAATGTTGTTGTTTTTTTTAATCCACAGGTAAATATTTGTGAACTTATGCTACAGAACATTTCTCTCCAAAGTGTGCATAAAATGGGAAAGCACCTTAACAAGTATCATACGCCAAAGATGGGGGGGGGGGGGGGCAAATGTTTTTAAAAAAAAGTCCACTTTACCACTTTATAGTATATAACCTGGTTCGTATACACCGGTGTGCATTCTTTGATAAAATTTGGTTTTATTGGTATTTTAATGAATATTTTTGTACTAGTTTTCAAGGAAGTTATATTAAAACTTACAGTATTATAACCACAGTAAATTCAATAAACGTATTCTAATTGTATTTGGGATCAATGGCAGCAAAAATGAAAAGGTGGATTTGCTGTAACACGTATAACATATGTATGTTTCTGTGTGGTTTTCATATGTAATTATCCTTACTGGTCGCGTTCACGATTATATATATTTATTCTCTCGTTTATTCTTTGGACTACAATTCAATCAACATTATAATACGTGATTCATGAGATTGCATATGTGATTTAAACTCATTTGCTGAGCTTCTTTGATCACTCAGTCGTTGTCGTCGTCGGCGTCGTGTAAAAAATTGTTCAAACAATATTGAATATGTCATAAAAATAGGAATACCTGCTGGTCATAACAGGGTCTTGCTGTACGACAACGGGAATTATTCTGGAGTCTACAATGTTGGAGTTCTGCTCCTTTTTAACGAAGAATATTTGTCAATATCGCTTATTTAGCAGAAAAATTTCAAAGATTATCAAGACATTGCGTTTCAGATTTTTTTGAACTCACGCTCGATGAGGCTTGCACACAATATATTTTTACTAAGAACTAAGTTTAAATTGGAGTTATCGGTCTTATTTACCAGAACCATGAGCATTAAAACTAAAGAACGTCAACTGTTCTAATTTGTATGGGTCTTGTCTGTTAATAGATTGGCGCTGAGCTTCTTAACAGGAAGTTCACCGCGTACAACAATTCAGTATTCGGCAATACACGTACATCATGTATGCTATGATATTTCCCAGAAGGTAACATATAGGTGATCGTTTCAGCAGGAGAACCCTCGACGAGGCCAAAACATGCGTTCACCTATGCATTTTTTTCTCTCTTTTCTTTCTCTTTGAAATTACCTATTAGCTTAACAGTTGAATGCCCGCACAGGAATTTTTCAAGATCGATATGTTTCATAGTTAATGATAGTTAACTCTGATTTATTGTTTATTTTATAGTCAGACTCCATTGCGTGCTGATTCGCTTATCATCAGTTTTCACGAGCTACATTGAATTCTTCATTCCTGTGTTAAGAAACAGTTTCATTCAGTCGTATTCAGTCAAGAAAATTGTCTTTTCATCGTCACTATTATTATTTCTTAAATCATCTTAAAAATCTCTGAAAAGTTCGCAGTATGTGGCTTTTATATTATTGACATGAATTGTACTGAATTATACTTGCATCTGTTAAGCATCTAAAATTAAAATGAAAAACAATGCGAGTTTACTATGAAACAATTAGAAATATTGTGTTAAGTATAAACCTTATTCAGGGGAAATAAAACATTTATAAATTGTTTGGTTTTATTTTAATGGTTTAATAAGAGTCTTTTTTCCCTCTTTGATCTGGTGTCAACGCAGCCATTTGATCTCGTGTCAATGCAGCCAATGAATATAATGGTCCTCATCAATAAGTAAATAACAAGAAATTTAATAAGAAAAGTTTATCTTCTGAAACATAGATCAAGAAATCAACATTTGAATGATAGAAATGAAAATATACATATATATATTTTTTGAATTAGTTCTTGTTTTACTCTGCCACATATGCAGGTGAATAAAACTCTGTTATAAGATTCTTAAAGACTGAGAATAATAATTTAAAATTTCTCGGATTATATTCTCTATTAATAAAGCTAATTACCTGACAATGATTTGGATTGGATAATAGAAATAATTCATAATAACGTGCACCGCGAGATTTGGCGAGATGCCACGTGACCTCACCACATGTTAAGTGCAGTCACGAAATCTGACTGCGCGCCAAAATTCCAATGTTAGATATGAGGGGAAGATGTAGCGTGTATGATAATATCAGGAGTTTACTGAATGTCTATTAGAATGGAAATAATTATCGACAATACACATATTACAGACTTTTGTACACTATTCAATCAGTCAACAGCCATTGCTAGATCTTACGCATACTGCTACATATGTATAATATAGTATGGCAATTCTATTACAATGTGTACATACATGTTCTACTCTGAAAGCCGTATGTTTATATTTTAATATTCAAAACATCTTGGTTCCCAATTGTATCCTGACATTTTGTTCGGTGTAAGTCAAAGATCACTGAACACTAAACTATAGCATGTATGTTATGAATTGAATATTTTTTAGATATAGAAATGTTTCTGTAAATTAATACATCGACCGGACTACTTTTTTGCTGAATTTTTCATAATAACACAGGTCAAATAAATGAAATGCATGAAAGCTGCATGTTCCCTTATCCCTCTAATTTAACACTGATTGAATTGATTACGAATAAACAATCAAAGTGTCTTATTGTTTTCGAATCTCTGATAAAAAAGCATGCTTCAGCGTGTATTATACTCTTGAAAATGCTATCATTACTTCTAAACTTAAGACCAAAATTGTGCATAAATTCTGCAATATTTGATACATTCCATATCTTATATTAATTTTTTTGTACCAGTTCATATAATTATCTGATTATTCACGGAAAGTTACGAAGAATGCCGATATTCAACGGGTGATCGTATAATTATGACGTATAATTATGGTACATTAGCTCCTCTTGTCATTTATATAGACAGTTTTATCTTCCATACCTTGTGCATTTAGCTGTAAGCTGTTTAACATCGTTGTCTAGAGAAAAGTGCAAGCTTGCAGAATATATTACTTCTACCTGCTACTATAAAATTATCGCTTTCTGTTAAATTACAGACTTCTCGAAAAGAAACAAATCATGCGAGCTTATAATAAGCGAAAGTATATTAATTGAATGATGTTTATAGACTTGTCGACCTGTTTTTTCCGCCTTTTCCCCTCGAATGATCTCCTTTTATTTAGATACAGCTCTCACGATATTATGAAACTTATTGCGGTGGTTAATTGAACACCAATGACGTCATATTGCCTGTGCGATAAGAGATAACTCCGAAAATATCGTGCATTTTTATAGATTTTGCTTGCTATTCTCGTGATGATTAGAAAAATAACACAGTTACAAACATAGATGATAGCAGTTCAATGTCGCAGGTGCTTTATAAAGACACTGACTCTCTTCATTTTACTTGTAATTATAGAATCAATAAAACATGAACTGTTTACCATGGACACAAGATTGACGCTGTGTCGAGGACCGAAGACATTGCAGTAGTAAATCAAACTTAGAATAGATAGATAAATGACAAAAGTATAAGGCTATCATTTTTTGTTGTTTAAATATGTTGATTTACAGTTTTAGTATACCTGCCATCAATATAATGTAAAATTCCGGCACTTCTCACAACTGTTTATTTCGAAAGTTGTCGGAGGACAGGATGTCATTAATTGCTGTTGGTCGCACAGACGCACTTATACATGTACAGTATAAACTCTGTAGAATGACCCTCTGTTGAGCAATAACCTCTATACAACAACGATATTATTCCGATTTACACTGCAGTTCACCTCTGTATAGCAAGACACTCAGCAACAACCCAAACATTTCTCTCCAAATGGATATTGCTCTGCAGAGGTTATCCTGTATAATAATTATCTTTATCAGTCACGGAAAGTGACGAAAAATTCCGAACTTTATCGAGATTATGATAAATACATCCCTAAAAGCCACGAACACTTTTTATACAATTTCCAGCATGATAGTTTTTACAGTTTTGACTAAAAATTAATTTCTTGAGATAGAATGCCAAGTTTTCTGCTTAAGTTTGAATCACGTAACCTTAATTTTATTGTTGGATTGTGGAATTTGCATAAAAAAACGACACAGTCATGAAAATTTAACAAATTATTGGTTTTACACCATAGAATTCAGTCATTTTATACAAAATGATTTAAACAATAATACAGTTTTCAATTATTTTTTTTACTTTATCAAGATGTCAGATAATGCAAAATATTTTATTTTTCAGGCTCATACCAGGGACAATGGTTGAGGGGGATGCGACACGGTTATGGCGTCCGAAAGAGTGTGCCTTATGGTTTAGCTTCACACTATCGACCAAAGGCTCTTCGGGCGTCACTGACCTCCCTTCGAAGCGAAAACGAGGACGAACAAGTTGTCAAAAATCGGGATAAAAAGCTTGATGAAGCAAGAGGTGGGTTCGTTTTGAAAGCCCGCAGCGACGAGACACCACCTACTCGTCGTAGATCTTTTTTCGATAAACAGGGGAGATCTAGTTTACGTAAAACTTTAATGTCGGGTTTACGTTTAAAGAAACAAAAAAGCACAGGTGATATAAATGATTCCCCAAAACGTCAAACAGGTTCTGTTCGCAGCACAATCAGCAGTCTAAGTCATGTAAGTGCCGAATCCACGCAAAGTGGAATGACGAACGCATCAATGTACACCGATAGTAATTTAAGTTTTGTAAGTCAGGATGACATCACTGACGTCAACGTAACGGAAACGTATATGGGTGAGTGGAAAAACGATAAAAGATCAGGATTTGGTGTCAGTGAACGATCTGATGGATTAAAATATGAAGGGGAATGGTTTAACAATAAAAAATACGGATACGGTGTTACGACATTCAAAGAAGGTACAAAAGAAGAAGGGAAATATAAAAATAATGTGCTTATATCATCAGGAAAGAAAACTAAATTGTTTTTGATACGGACTTCCAAGTTGAGAGAGAGAATAGACAATGCAGTATTGTCAGCTCAAAGAGGTGCGCAAATTGCCCTACAAAAAGCGGATATAGCTATTACTAGGTATGATATAAAACTTATTACTATTTATTATATTGAATTATATTCAATTTTCAGGTATTTATGTAAGAATTAAATACCACGATAAAAGCAGTCATATTAATTAATTAAGAATTCCTGCCAATATTGTATGCAACGAAAATATTCTAGATCTTTTAAAGGGACTCCACTGAGGTTTAAAGCCTAAAAACATAACATAAATGAGCTGGGACACTTTAAACAGAAATATATGCAAATATGGTTAAGAAATATAATTTGAAATAAATTGAAAATCGTATTTTTATGCTTTTTTAAGCCCGATTTGAGTGAAAAGTGTTAAAACGCTTTTCATTTTTACAATTTGAATAATTATTCTGGAAAAACGAAGTGCGCGAATGATCTGAAATTTTGCACAAAGATTAGTGGTCTAAACTACATCAAATTGTACAATTATCTGAAAAAAATATTTTCAGTCCCATCATGTCAAAAAAACTCAGTGGAGTCCCTTTAATATCTGTGAAATATTGAGTGAATTTAATAAACTTAAATATTGGTAAGTTTGAGAATGTGTATTGCTTTCACATTCATATCAATGTATGATAATTTACTACAAGCATTTTCAGTTATGTATTGAAGTACATGCACATATAAAAGTCGTCTTCTTTCAAGCAACAGTGCACAGTTGCACTCTTAATTAGCACGTGAATTTGGCTTATTTGTTGTTGTTTTTTTTAATGAAAAAGATGATATCTTAAAAAATTTCCCAGACAAAAGAACTATCCAGTCAAATATTCGCTTTTCAAACATCCTTTGTCAATGTTCCAATTAAAGCCATAATGCATTCGTTAGTCAAATGTCCTGGTCAGTGTCCCTGTTAAGGCCATTCGTTATTCAATTTCTCAAACATCGTTGTCAGTGCTCCAAGTAGGGCCATTTGTTTGTCAAATTTCCTTGTCAGTGTTCCAATTAAGGCCGTACGTTAGTCCAATGTCCTGGCCAGCATTCCAATTAAGGCCAATCGTTTGTCAAATATCCTGGTCATTGTTCCAATTAAGGCCATTTGCTAGTCAAATATCCTGGTCATTGTTCCAATTAAGGCCATTCGTTAGTCAAATATCCTGGTCATCGTTCCAATTAAGGCCATTTTCTAGTCAAATATCCTGGTCATTGTTCCAATTAAGGCCATTTGCTAGTCAAATATCCTGGTCATTGTTCCAATTAAGGCCATTCGTTAGTCAAATATCCTGGTCATCGTTCCAATTAAGGCCATTTTCTAGTCAAATATCCTGGTCATTGTTCCAATTAAGGCCATTTGCTAGTCAAATATCCTGGTCATTGTTCCAATTAAGGCCATTCGTTAGTCAAATATCCTGGTCATCGTTCCAATTAAGACCATTTGCTAGTCAAACATCCTGGTAATTGCTCCAATTAGGGCTATTCGTCAGTCAAATATCCTGGTCATCGTTCCAATTAAGGCAATTCGTTAGTCAAATATCCTGGTCATTGTTCCAATTAAGACCATTTGCTAGTCAATCATCCTGGTAATTGCTCCAATTTAGGCTATTCGTCAGTCAAATATCCTGATCATCGTTCCAATTAAGGCAATTCGTTAGTCAAATATCCTGGTCATTGTTCCAATTAAGGTTATTCGTTATTCAAATATCCAGATCATCATTCCAATTAAGGTCATGCGTTAGTCAAATATCCTGATCATCGTTCCAATGAAGGTCATTCGTTAGTCAAATATCCTGATCATTATTCCAATTAAGGTCATGCGTTAGTCAAATATCCTGATCATCGTTCCAATTAAGGTCATTCGTTAGTCAAATATCCTGGTAATTGTTCCAATTAAGACCATTCGTTAACCAAATATCATGGTAATTATTCTAATAAAGGTCATTCGTTCGTCAAATATCCCGGTCGTTGTTTCAGTTAAGGCCATTTATTAGTAAATTATCATTGTCAGTGTTCCAATTAAGATAATTTGTAAGTCAAATTTTCTGTTCAGTGTTCCAAGTAAGGTCATACGTTAGTGTAATTTTCTGGTCCGTGTTCTTATTAAGGTCTTTGTCAGTAAAAACAACCTTGTCAGTGTTCCAATTTAGATCATTCTTTAGTAAAATATCTGTCAGTTTTTAGAAAGATGAAATGTTAGTCAAATATCCTTGAGAATGTTTTAATTTAGGTCATTCGTTAATAAAATATCCCTGTAAGTAATCTAATTAATTAAGGTCATATATTATTCAAGTCATTCTTTAGTCAAATAACCTGGTCAGTTTACTAACGAAGGTCATTCTTTTGTTAAACAAATATCAGTTTACTAAACAATGTCATCCATTTGTCCAATGGTCCGGTCAATTTGCTTGTACAGATCTTTTATCAGTTATAATGTCAGTTATTTTAACACATGCGGTGATTTATTGTACCCATGATTTGTCAAATAATTCAAACAGATTTTTTTCTAATGATACAATCTACAAAGTTTTTTTACCAAAGTTTTTTTTTAAAGATAATTTGGTGATATAATTATATTTTCCATGACAACGTCTGTTTCTATGTTTGTATCTATCAGATTATTTAGTAAAGCCCTTTTTGTCAAATGCATTATATAACGGCAAGGATCGTAATCGTGATCGACAACAGTTGGTTGTCAAATATTCTGGTCAGTGTTCTAAGCAAGGCCATTCGTTTGTCAATTAACGGTGTCAGTTCACTAACGAAGATATTTATTTGCTAGTCAACGGTGTGCGTGTTAAGACAAATAAGCAAGTTAGTTTACTGATGAAGGTGCTTCGTTTAGTCAATTTACTTACAATGGTCTTTCGTTGGTGAGGTAATCGTGCAAGTTTACTAACGTAGATATTTAGAAGTCGAACAATCTGGTCAGTGTTCTAATCAAGGTCATCCATCAGTACAAGGGCTGTCCCAAAAAATCATGGTCAGCAGCTTTTAAATACAAAATACTCAACAAGGCAATACTGAGTGTGTACATGCAAAACATGAGCAAGATATTGCACTCTTGTCAGTTTACTAAAGGGATTGCTTCGTCAGTCAAATAATCTGGTCAGTAATGTGACCTTTGATTTATCAATTTTTTAAAAAAAATTCTATGTCATATTATACGCATAAAATTACTGATCCGGCGAGTGACATATGCTTTCCATCTGTCAAATAATCTGACAAGTTATATTATATGTATGCTTGTATCTATCAGGATTGTCTTGTAATTAATGTAACTAATCATCACCTTATGTCAGAAATTTTTATGGCAAGAGTTGTGGTAATATGTTTTCTCAATCGTGCGGAATTCAAATGATTTGGCTAAGATTTCTCAAGTAGGTGATTGTCTGTAAAACAATCTGGTCAACGACTGTCTGACCAGTCCGGGTCATCATCAATGTTAACATAGATTTATATTTTTGTGCTTGTTGATGTGATCGGAGTAAACAAAACTTTTTTTCCCCCAATACTTATAATACAAGAAACATGACGGAAAAGCCCGATGTTTCACGGATGAGTTTAACCAATTACAAACCAATCAAAATAATTAAGAAGTGCAAATTGAATCAGTCAGCATGTACAACTTGTGTTATGCATCTACGTACAGATGGAATAGATAAAAACCATACACATTACCAAAAGTATTTTTATAATCGGATGTGTGCCAAGAAATTAATGGTCCATGATTTCCTCTGAAAGCTGTAGACTGGTACTCACTCTCTAAATGCTAAACCAATCTTTTTACATTGTAACAGAATTGAGCCATGTCACGACAAAATCAACATAATGGGTTTGCGACAAGCATGGATCCAGACCAGCCTGCGCATCCGCGCAGTCTGATCAGGATCCATGCTGTTCGCTTACAGACCCTATAACAAATAGAGAAACTGATAGCGAACAGCATGGATCCTGATCAGACTGCGCGGATGCGCAGGCTGGTCTGGATCCATGCTGGTCGCAAACCCATTATGTTGGTTTTGTCGTGACACGGCTCAATTGATGTACAGACTGAGCTAAGGCAGCGCCGAAAACGTTACAGAACACGACTTTTCGGTTATTTATTTTGTAATGAATACTCACTTAAAAAAGGTAATTGTTTTATGAGACCCATTGAAAACTTCATTGATAGAATTAACTTTACTATACGATTCATTATTATTTAGGCTTCCATTCTTTAACTTTGATTTTTTTTAATAAATAAAATATGTGCATTGTCTCTATTGATTATGCTTCTTGTTGCTAAGGTAATTTATTTTCATTTCCGTAACGTAAAACACTACCAAGACATAACTTAGTAATTAACACCTCCGTTTTGCTAGATTACTCGAGACCTTGATACAAGAACGTACGTATTGTATGTTTTAACAAAAGCAGTAATGACGTCATTTAGCATACCAATCTCCATGCGAGTAATTCTATGAATGAAACAACAAGCAATAGAGAAGAGAAAAGATGTTAAATGAAACGTAAAGAGAAGAAAACCCGACATTGATGAAGTGTTTTGTATACGCTCTCAACACATAAATCAATATTTCTAAAATGGGAATCTTCTTTAACAACAGACAAAATTCATTTACATTTTCTGAACACGTCTCTAGAGTGACATTAAAACACTGTTAATAACGCAAAATAAACCCCTTTGGTCATTTTAAGTGCATTTAGCTTTTGTATTTCTGTTGATTTTAGAACTTTGCTGAATATTAAATACAACGAATACTTGAGTATAATTAAATTTAATTCCATCTGAAGTTGTTTTTCTCATACATCACACTTTAAGGAAATCAATATTATAATAAGTATATAATTATATGAGTATATACATACATGTATATATATCGATCAAAAACTTTAATTCGCATGAAGAGAACAGTCTAGACCAACATTGAAATGTGTCTTATTTTATTTCTATAAAACGTCTTTCATTTTCTCACACTTTCACAAAATTATTTTGCCGAGCTTTTGGCCAACTCTTTCGACATATAGATAATAAATCAAAGCACAGAAGGCGCTGAATTTGTTTGGGTCTCAGAATGTCAGAAAGGTGAAGGTTGTGAGATTATAAAACAATTTGTCTTTGTATAGTGCCACCAACGCTTTCCAGCGTTTTAATTGTGGTAGATTGGCTATAAGAATAATTGCAACACTGATATTCGGTCCAATGTTTATTTGACTTAAACAGTTTGAAAAAAAATGAGTTACCTTAACTGGGATTTGAACTCCAGACCTCTCGCTTCCTAAGCGAGTGCGCAAACCCCTCGGCCACGGTGAATTTATATGTGAGCGGCCTGAAGAAAACCATATTATTCTAGTTAGGGTTTGTAACGACGCTAACTGTTGTTTAACACTTGTGTAAATAATCATGGCGCTTACTATAAGCATGTATATCTATAAAGAATAAAACAATATTAGAAATCTTCGACCATTCGGGAATTATTTTGCTTGAATATTAATCCGCCTGTCATGTGACCATATTTACGCAGTGATCTCCCCTAAATTTTCCGGCCTAAGTGTTACATATAAAGGGGAGTAACCGCTTCAAAAAAGCGGACTACTTTCGGCACTTGCAATTAACAGCATTAGAGTCTGAAATTTCGCTACCATTATTTGTTTGGTCTGACGACCCAAACAAATAAAAACTAAAGTATCCGCATAGGAATATAGTAACTGAATTAAAGTCTACGATCCATATTTAATCAGTTTTAACTAACTTACATCCGGGCCCCTAGACACAGTTATCTAATTTCTAACCGCAAAATGCATCGCCAGCGTCTAACAGAACGCCTGTATCCAAGCGGCCGTCCAAATACGGCAAAAATATGGGTCATAAAAAGGTAAAGAAAAGAAACCAACAAAACAAAAACAAAAACACATTTACTTCGTTAATTCAGTTTTGTGTATTCAGTTATTTTTCACTTTTAGAAAAATAAAACAAACAGAAATGTTCATCGATTGCCTGGATATTTGAATTTTTATTCTTTTACGCACTTAAATTAAGTGAAATTATATTATAATTATGTTGTATTAACGCAGTACCTCACAGTTTTGCCTCAGAAGAGGTATACTAAGGTATATCTTGTGGCATGCTTGAGGTCTGCACTTTTACAAAGTCTTCCCAGTACAATGTCACGTGTGAGAGAAGATGATAAACCACTAGGCCAATATTCAATATAGTTGTAAGGGGGGGGGGGGGGGGGTAAGGGGGGATAAGTTTTGATGCTAAGTACTCTTTAGTCTTCTAAATGATAAATTATTCCTTTTGTTTGTATTTTTCATGGTTCCTTGTATCGTTGTTAAAGAAATGACTCTTTAATGTAAGAGACTGCAAACTGAAGCAGACGACAATAATTAGTGAGGAGATAGATAGACAGTGTCGTAACAGATGAATAATTCAGTTCCTGTTTTTACCGCATGAATATTTAACAGACAAGAAGGCGTTAAAAGTCTCCATCTTTTTGTAACAGCTCGTCAATGATAAACTTATGAGCTTGCAATATTCCATAATGTCCTAAAGAATCATATTTTAAAAGCTGTCATATCTTAAAACCCGGAAAAAGATCTCGTGGCAGAATTGATATAAGTAATTCCCACTACAGTATTTATAGAACTAGATTTAGATCTTTTTCAGTGATAAAAAAATCATTTCTCGACTTTAACTTAAAGTCTGGTTCGGTGCTATAGAAGTGTAGTCGTAGAAATATTTAATACATGTATATTATTTCACTCATGATTTTTTATTGTATATTCATTTAGAAAATAACTAATATTTTCAACATGAACGTGTAGCCAACATCATCAGAAAAGGTCGTGCCTTAAAGACCTATCATGACTCGCTCATTCTTTTAAAATGTCCATTGTAAGATACATAATATACAAAAATAACAGAATTTTATGCCATTTCAAGGTAAGAAATAAAGAGGGCATACATTTGTTGTACTGCTTGCCAATTGAATGTGATATCTGTATATAAAGGTGTACTATCAAAATACATTTTTAGTTCGTTGTTGGCCTTTAATAACTTGAAAAATGTATCGAAACAGCATACAGGTGATCATTAATGACGTCAAAAGTACCTCCCACCCACCTTATCAAGACAAATACATTATATTTATAGTTTTCTATTAATTCCCACTACAGCAATATAACACAAAAATAAATGTATCAAATTTACAATTTATAACTCTACAAGACAGAGTTGCCTAACCAGCCCTCACATTCTATAATAGTCAGGTATTAAGCGGTACACCTACAGATATGTTACCATGCCAACATATTGTTGACATACGAGAAATATATTTTTCCTATGTCGAGAATATGTTCAACCAATTATTTGCACGTGTGAATATACATTTAGATATATGGTACCGTGTCTCACTGAGAACTTATTACTGTTCAACTGTCATATATAACAGTCAAAACCGTTATCTCACTGAGTGTAATCTAAAAATATAGTTAACATTTTTTTCATAATTATTTTCTTTCAACAACAGAAATTGATTCTTATTTATAGTTTTAGTTCGCACAGAATAGTCGTTTAGAACACAATTCTAACACTCCTAAGTACCAACCACGTGTCATGCAATAGGTTAAGTTTAGTTTCAGTCTCTGAGCACTATCAGCTATGATAGGACGTGTGTCCAACCAAACTCTTTACTGGCTGGTGAGCACTGATAAAATAACAACTGATCGTTCCAGATTCTAAGCAGAAAAAGTCCGCGGTGAAAGTGTTAAGCAAATGGACGGTCTTGTTAAAGTATGATTACCCTGGTGAATGATTTAGAATTTATGATGTTTTTCTTATTCAAGTCAAAAAATTATAAGTGTATCCTTCGTGTCTTTAACGATTAAAAGGAAGTGATATCAAGTTCAAGTTATTCAGGTACAAAAGAAAGGAAAGACAGTCTAAATTATTTTTTTAACTCTTGATAATGGCAGCATAACCATAAATTATTATTAAGGTAATTAAAGGGACGTTACTCATTTAAGTAGCATAAACATTCAATATAGAGTTATGTACCTTCATGTTAGTTAAAACTTATCTAGTTATAAATGGTGTTCCAATGTTGTGAATTGAGCAATGCACTTTGAATGTTACATTTCAGAATTACTCCAATCTTTTAAAATCCAAAGCTTGTTTAATATAAGTTTTTGTTTGATATAAAATAAATCCCTTCTTTTGATCAACTTTTATTTATTTGATTGACTATTTTATGTGATGATTTTATTGACATTTATAACTGTTTGAGATTGGTTTGACCGTACAGACTAAGATTTAAACAACATGAATTGTTCTATTGAACGGTCAACTGGTCATGTGCATCTTCTTTTTTTCTTACCTTGTTTTCTTATCAGTTGAATGGGTTATTAAAACATGTCTGATAGAAACTGTATGTATGTAGTATGTAAATCAGTTGTACTGATATTGATAATAGATGTAATCATTTTGTTATTCAGGATGGCGAACGCTAGGGCAAAGGCGGAACAGGCTGATCAGGCGGCCCTGAAAGCCGAGCAAGACTCGGACACAGCTAGGTTAAAAGCTAAACAATATGCACCAGAATTTCACCAACCAGGTATATTTAAAATATCCATTATATTACTTACGCAATTATGTCTGTCGGTTTGACAATAAGTTTGTTTGTTTTGGGTTTTACGTCACATTGACACAGTATAGGTCATATCGCGACGTTCCAGCTTTACTGGTGGAGAAAGACCTCAGGTGCCCTTCCGTGCATTATTTCAGGCACGAACGGGCACCTGAGTAGAACCACCGACGTTCCGTAAGTTAGCTGGATAGCTTCCTCACATGAAAGAATCCAAAGTCCCTGTCGGAATTCGAACCCACAGCGGTGAGGGGCAAGTGATTTGAAGTCAACGACCTTAACCACTCGGCCACGGACGCCCCTTGACAATGAGTATTTGATTATCATCCCAGGAATCTTTAGGCGGGACATTTAGTTGTTTCTATGTCCTACACGTCTTTATTTTCTGTCTTCTTACCTCGGGTAGGGTGTAGGTCAATTTATCTTAATATAAGGCTAATACATTAAATTTTCAAAGTAAATTACGGATTTACAAATTAATTACAAATTTTATGTTAAATTAATAAAATATTTCAAATGCGTGACTAACGCATTAAGGGCTATTTATTTGCATAATTTTACCTTTATTTGGTTATTTTTTTGGATTGAAAGTGTCGTTTACAATGTGCAAATTTCTCTCTTTGTTCACTTGACAATATTTTTAAACACATTTTCATTTTTTTTCATGAAAATAAGCATGAATCAGGAGGCGTGCTGCTTTAAGTGACGGGAATAACATTACATTTCCCCAAACATTATTTACTATCCACTTCTATTCCGATGAAAATGAGAAGTCGACGGTTTACTTATATGTATAGAGTTTGTAAATTTTCTTTTCAAACATATTAAGTACGATAAAATATGGTTTTGATAGTGACAAGATACTCCATGACTATGCTCACAATAAGATATAACACGTTCTTCAAACGTATTTAAAGATTTTGTTTCATTTGAGGTACTTTTTACTGACAACATTAATTTTATTACCATTCTCCAAAGTATTTTGAAAAATGCTTACGCAAGGAAATACATTTTACCTCACATTACTACTTTCGTTATAGTTTAAATTTACATGAGTGTCATTGAAAAAAGAAACAGTACAAACATTTCTGATATAATTTTTAAACATGAATTGGTCTAATAATAATTTGAGCCGCGTCACGACAAAACAAACGTAATGCGTTTGCGACCAGCATGGATCCAGACCAGACTGCGCATCCGCGCAGTCTGATCAGGATCCATGCTGTTCGCTTAGAAACCCTATTACAAGTAGAGAAACTGATAGCGAACAGCATGGATCCTGATCAGACTGCGCGGAAGCGCAGGCTGGTCTGTTTCCATGCTGGTCGCAAACGCATTACGTTGGTTTTGTCGTGACGCGGCTCATTTATATATAGATGTAGTTTGTGATACATGTTCCGATATTATATATCTAATCATTGCCGATCATAAATTATTGTAGAACAAAATATTATTATTCATTTTATAAATGTTCATACTAAATCACTAAGAACTTAATCAACCTTCTCTTTTTCTTATCCAAACGTTACATTTCTACAGTTTTTATCCAAACTTTAAATACTTACGGGAAATGTAACCAATGTAGACCAATCCATTGAAATGCGTTTTCTCCAGTAGTACGAAATACAAATATTCAAATTTTCGTTCCCATTAAAATTTCATTATTTGCGTACTTTGATACAATGATAATTACATGTCACACCAGAGCGTATTAATCGTCATATTGCAATGGATAACAATTAATATGAACAACACACGTTAAAGTTTGTGGCACATATTCTTTTGCAGTTTTTTCTTCAAGAATACATATAGGTTTGTTTATTGAATAGTTATATCAATTTTTGTTATTTTATTTAAGGCACAGACATAATCAAGAAAAAACTTATGGAACAGAACCATAACGGTCAACCAATAGATGAACACTATGACTTCAGCCATATGGAAATGCAGCAGAACCACAATCCGCATCAGCGCTCAAAATCCATGATGATGCGGAATGAGGACGGTACACGGGGCTTATCGCCCTCCATGGCCATGGACCAAGGATTTGGTCCGAGTAGAAAAACTAGTGCACAGGCGGATTTTAATTATTTAAGTGTTAACAATCCTTTGCTACAAACGACGCCAAATTCCCTCAACCCTTCTCAAGAAACTGTGATTTCCAATCATTCTTCGCATAACCGGAGTCCTTCATTAAAAATAAGACGGTATAGCTTTTTAGCTGGCTCAAGAAGAGGGCGTGGCTTTAGTGAATTATTTAATTCCACTATTTTAAATGACCATTTTGATCAGTATTCGGCTCAACAAGACGACAGTGGCCTAGGAAGGGATTTTCTAACCCCGCAGGACCGCGTTTCCAATCGTGTACACCCCAGTGATACTTCTCCAGATTCCGGCGTCTCGGAGGGCGTGGACGAAGGGGCTCGCCCTTTTACTCGCCGTAGAACTCTACCATGTATAGTTAAAGGCGATGAAAACAGCGCCAAAGCAGCAGTAAAAGAACAGGCTCATAGCAGTGAAAATTTAGCTAGAAAGAATCCAGAAACTTACATCATAGAAAATGGTATTAGAAAAAGGGTAAAGGGGGTTACACGAAATCCACAGCCAACAAACAGAGCGTCCTCTAGAAGTGATTTACCAAATGAGTATAGAATTGAAAGCCAAAATCCAATGGCAAGGGCGGGTAAGCACGGTAGTCTTCCAGATATCACTGCCATTCAAAAGACAGAGAAGCCTTCTATGACAAGAGAGGAGGCTTATAAATTAAGCACCGCCCGAAGGGAGGAGCTTCGCAGACTCCAAGATTTAGCAGAGAGGCGCCGACAGGGAGATGTAACTGTTATTCTAGGAGATTTAAGGGTAAGATTCTTGCTATTTTATCTAACTTGAGCACATGGGTGCTTGTGATGACATGGTGTCAGTAGTCCGTCATTATCCACAAAAACCTTGAAACAACATCTCCTAAATATTTGGCGGATTTTAACATGGCAGAAATGACCTTTGGATGACCCTCTACAAAATGATGTAAATGGTTCCAGTCTGAGGTACAAGTAGGTCACAGGAACTAGAAATAACTTTAAAATGAAATCTTTAAAAAATCCCTCCTCAGTTACTAGAACTTCAATGCCCAGAGCTTTAGATATTTGGCCTTGTCGTCCTCTATAAGTTAAATAAATCTCACCTCTGAAGTAAGAACTGGCCCCTCAGTTTATAGAGTAATATATAGGAAAACATATGTCTTATTTTGTCAATAAAAATGTCTATAGTTTAGTTATATAGCATGTAGCATGGCCTTCTGGACATATACAAAAGCTATAACAAAAATCATATCCTACGGTCAAAATAGCTTCACTCCTCCTCTAACAATATAATGCCAATAGCTTTTGGATTTCTTCATGTAGCACCACCTTGTGGTTCTCTACTAAAATGATATAAATCATGCCCATGTGGTAAAGGTGATCCCGTCCTAGGTATAGACTTAAAAACACATTTAAGTCTTCATGTTTGAAACTATTTTGTTAAAAATTCCCTTTTAATTTCACTTGTGTCAGTATTATTGGATTTCAGAGGCTACCAGAATTCTTCTAAATTCATCATCACTGTAGAAGTTTCGATGCACAATCTCCAAACTTGTGGATTCCTTTTTAGTAAGGAAACTTTCCAGATTCGGGAACATCGGTGGTACTACTCAGATGCCCGTTCGTGCCTGAAATTATGCATAAAGGGGCAAAGCTGGGAGGTCGTCATATAACCTTCACAGTTTTGGCGCGGCATAAAACCAAACCCCCAAAAAGACCCAAAAATGTTAAAAATCAATTTTCTTTTTTAAATGAATAAACATTTCTGTTTTCAGGATTTTGTGCAGCAAAGACAGCTATTAGTTTTGGTTATAGCATTGAATTTGAGTTTAGCTACAATGTTCTTCAACCTGCTGTCCTGAGCAGAAGAGTCGTTTGGTCATTCCTACCCATAATTCCCTGATTTTGGAGGATTTCTTGTCATGTCACGTGACATGGCAAAAGTGTTGAGGTTCCAATGTGGCGTCTTGCCTTTGGAAGGAATTTGGACGAGAGGAGAGCTTTTGATAAATATGATGTCCAATTTATCGCACGAGTTGGTGTCAGAAGGAGGTTGTGAGAATTTTTTTCATACAGAAGATGTTCGAACTTGTTAATGCAATGCAAAGAATGGCAAAATATCTTGGTTAATTCCGAGTGAAAAAATAGTTTGCTTCGAAAATGTAAATGGAAGGTTTATATGGAAAGAAGGAAAAATAATTTCACATTGCATGAAATACCTTGGAAATGTGCTTAGTGATTGTTTTGAAACAGTAGGAAATTTCCATGTACAAGAAAATCATAAATGGCCAGTGTAACTGGTCATTCAAGAACGAACAATGCGAGCAATGGAATTTTTAGACCAAAGATAGTGAAAAATATTTACATCATTACTTTGTTATTCGTTCAAAGCACAGCGAAACCTTTAGCTTCACGTGCTAAATTAAATCGTTTGCAAACACGAGCACTTTCAGCCAGTTAATATACCTCCAATTTGCTTTATATGATAAGCTATATAGTTTGGTTATTTTCCAGTTGACCACGTGATTTCATTTACTCCATTGTATCAACACCAATTATCATTTATACAGTCTCATGTTTTTTTCTTACCAAGTTTGTTGAATGAATTGTTATAATCTATTATGCAAATATTTTGTAGAACTCCAGTACTCGGAAGTGAAATCATTTTACCCTTGCCCGATATAGAACAAAATATATATAGTATTTTGAAAAAAAAATTGTAGATTTACTAGATTTATTTTAGAATATTGATTATAGTGTTATATAATTCATATATCAGATACAATAATTATTTCAATAGATTTAAACAAATTAATATTTCCAGATATCTTTAGAAACAGTTTCCTTATACTATATAAGTATTAATATAAAATCATAGTTAATATAATAATATGGAACGCCTGTAGTAATGTTATTTCAAATATAACATATCTGAGTAAAATTTAAAGTTGTTGGACAATCAGTTTCAAACAAATCTTATATCAAAATCTTTTCTTTTTTTTAAAAAACTTGCCATCTATTTAACTGTAAATCACCTTTTTTGATTGGTTAATTACGGTATTCAAGTCAGTTAATTAAGATTAAAGGTTGCTATGCGTGCATGCGTTGTTAAATCTTTAGTGTTGGAAACCAATTCAATTCTCATTTTTGTTCAAAAGAACGGGATTTTTAGCTTGTTTGTCAAAATATTTTTTATTATTTTATTGTTGACTGCATTAACGAAGTTCATATGACCATGATATTTTTCGTTCTTGTATTTATTGTGAAGTTTCGTGTGTGTTTGTTTCTCTATAAAAGCTGTGCTTCATTTATACAGAAATGTTTAAAAACCAAAACATCATTGTGTAAATATTACTTGTTTCTGAAAAAGTTTGTTTGTGTACATGAATACAAAAAGAATTTATATACATGTTAATGTTACCTACACTTTATTGAGTTATTTATGTCTTTCAGGATACGTGGTTTTTCATACTACCCCTCGACTACATGTTAGGGAATGTTGTTAGTAAACATGAACTGTTTCTATGGAAGGCCGTTGCTGTACTCTTATTACAGATTTGTTAATTTGCAGGAATCATTGAAAATTAATATAGGTTTTTGTATAACATTCTACTCATTTGCTACATTTAATGTTTGCATTATAAACTAGCCATTTTAAAGGCTTTCTGAATTTAACAATTTTGAAATAATTATGCAGCACCGGCGTTCCATATGTCTCATATAATTTATTATGTTTCATTGTTTAGGATCCTCCTTTTTATTTATTTTGTTGCCGTTTTGATGTTATCTATCTGTTAATGCATTATTGTCCAGTTTTCCCATATGTTTATATTTCAACTTGTATATATTGGATATACTCTCTTAATTATCAAAGCACAAGAAGGTAGATTTTAGATTTTAAAAAATGACCTTTTTTGCCTTACACTTTAGAGAGTTAGTCGGCGATACTGGAAAGTGAATGCAAAATTAAAACACGAGATTGCCTGAAAAATAAAAATATTTATTTTAGTTTAAATACCTTGGATAATAACAGTTAAGTAACATATGAGACAAAATGAAATAAAATATATCAATGTAATTGTTATAGTTTTTGGACAGATTTTTTTAGTGGTGTTCATTTTGATTGCTAGTAGCCGGGCATCAGTATTACCTCAAAATCATTTTGTATCATAATGATACAATCCATATCTGCCATAATGTCATCTGTTAAATAGAGATGTTCTGAGGCTCATGCCTTCACATGTGTGAGGGAAAAAGGCAAATCTACCGGATATTGTTGTTCACTTTTTAGTATCAAGTAATGACGTCATGAAGGCCCCTCTTACTTACAACCAGAAATACAGAATAAATTTAGATTCTTCTAACAACAGTGTTTTACCTTTTTCTGTTCTTCCCATTCAAATTTATGTTAACTTTAATTAAGCCGATCAAATAATGACATTTCAAGTACAGCAATTACATAAGGTATAGGAACATACATGTATATGTTTCAAGTTTATGCAATTCCATAATTTTCTACACTTTTTCCATATAGTCTACCCTATCAAGTGAAAAGTGCAATGAAAAAGCCAGGTTCATGTTACATATTTTGATTGCCGTCCGCGTTGACATTGAAGACAAGTGTAGAAAACAAAAAGAGAATTCAACAAAAATAGCATGTTTGCATAAAAGCAGACAAAACTCCAGTTACTGGTGACCCAACAATGACAAACATATTGCTTTTTAGCTCACCTGAGCATATGCTCAGGGTGAGCTATTAGGATCACTCTTCGTCCGTCGTCTGTCGTCCGTTCACACTTTTAAAACGACATCTCCTCTGAAACCATAAGGCAGATCATAATGAAACTTCACAGGGATGTTCCTTGTGTGAAGCCTTAACAAAGTTGTTCAAAGAATTCCATTCCATGCAGAACTCTGGTTGCCATGGCAACCAATAGGAAAAACTTTAAATATCTTCTTTTAAAAAACCCTAAGAGCTAGAGCTTAGATATTTGGCATGAAACATCTTCTAATGAGTGTCTACCAAGTTTGTTCAAATAAAAGCCCTGGGGTCAAAATTGGCCCCGCCCCAGGGGGTCTTTGATTTTCCCTATATGCATATAGTAAAAACTTAAAAAATCTTCTTTTAAAGAACCCAAAGAGCTAGAGCTAAGATATTTAGCATGAAACATCTTCTAATGAGTGTCTACCAAGTTTGTTCAAATAAAAGCCCTGGGGTCAAAATTGGCCCCGCCCCAGGGGGTCATTGATTTTCCCTATATGCATATAGTAAAAACTTAAAAAATCTTCTTTTAAAGAACCCAAAGAGCTAGAGCTAAGATATTTAGCATGAAACATCTTCTTATGAGTGTCTACCAAGTTTGTTCAAATAAAAGCCCTGTGGTCAAAATTGGCCCCGCCCCAGGGGGTCATTGATTTTCCCTATATGCATATAGTAAAAACTTAAAAAATCTTCTTTTAAAGAACTCAAATAGCTAGAGCTAAGATATTTAGCATGAAACATGTTCTAATGGGTGTCTACCAAGTTTGTTCAAATAAAAGCCCTGGGGTCAAAATAGGCCCCGCCCCGGGTGTTATTGATTTTCATTATATGTGTATAGCAAAAACTTAAAAGTCTTCTTTGAGAAAACCCAAATAGCTAGAGTATAGATATTAAGCATGAAACATCTTCTAGTAAGTGTCTACAAAGTTTGTTCAAATAACAGCCCTGGGGTCAAAACTGGCCCCGCCCCAGGGGTGTCATTGGTTTTAACTACATGTGTATAGTAAAAACTTAAAAAATCTTCTTTTAAAAAAACCCAATGAGCTAGAGCTTAGATGTTTAGCATGAAACATCTTCTTATGGGTGTCTACCAAGTTTGTTCAAATAAAAGCCATTGGGTTAAATTTGCCCTGTCGGGGGGGGGGGGGTGTAGATCGTTGTTTTTCATTATATGTGTGTAGAAAAAACTTAACATCGTGAAACATCTTCTAATGGGTGTCTTCCAAGTTTTTTCAAATAAAAGCCCTGGGGTTTAAACTGGCCCCGCTCCGGGTGCCTTTATACAGGTGAGCGACCTCAGGGCCATCATGGCCCTCTTGTTTGAAGTAGACTCATTTGATAAAGGTTTCAATAATTCTACACCACCCCATGTAAGCTGAGCACACAGTAAGATAAACTTTTTATTACTATGAAAGTTGTCCGTCACCCGTCTTTGCCGCAAATTCTTCTAACAACATCTCCTAAACTACACGATGAACGTTGACCAAACGTATGAAGAATGATTCTTCGATGACCCTCTACAAAAGTTATATGCAATGGGCAAGGTCAGAGCTGAAATACATGTATTTAGCATTTATCATCACCTTGTGATCCTCAACCTGAGTTATATAAATCATGCACCTTGGTCAGAACTGACCCCGTCTTGGGATTGCCACTTGATAGAGACTTGTACATGAAGCCTACTTAAGTCTTCCAGCGTGAAACTTAAATGCCTAGAGCTTAGATATTTGGCATGTGAGCCTCTATAAGATTTATGTAAATCATGTCCCTTTGGTAAAAAAATGACCTGTTTCGGGCACTTACTTTTAGTATAGGGAAATGTTTTAATAGTAAAATAGACAGCACAATGTCTAGAGCTAGATACATCATGATCCTAATGTTTATACAGCTATACAGTTTTAAAACAAACAAAAATGCACACTATAATATGAACGTGTTTAAACTCATCATGATATTGTCATAGAAGAAAGTGTCATAATCTTTAGATACAAATGTAGATATAGCGTGTGTACTGGTAACACTGTCAGATTGTCACTGTCTGCTTCAACAACTCATGTTTCTTTAAGACGAGACTCCAAAGATGCCGCCTTTCACACGCTAGTAGTTTCTTCCAGAATATCGCATTTCCTGTATGCGTCGTAATATCCTTTAAAACAGACTTTTGGAGATAGGGACAGGTCCGGCGTTTCCGTATGGAATTCCGGTGGTTATCATAAGTAAAAATATATCATAAACACACAAACAATTTATAAACACATGTTGGTCTTAAGGAAGTTACCACGAAGAAAAAAATGTCAATCACCAGACAGCCTATTCGTTGTATAATTATTTAATCTCAAAAAGTTTGTGCATAAATGATTATTAAAACAGATATTAAGACATGCTTGCAAATTGAATGTTACATATTTCGACATCGAAGTTAATATCAAATATCTATCACACAAATAGAGAACATAAGTAAAGGTTATCTTTCTTACCAAATATACCATATATGTCCCCAACCTATTGGTATTGTATATGAACAACTCCTATAGATGAGTACTACATGCTTGAGCATTGACGTGCAACTAAAACAGTTAAAAATCTGGAAACAAAGTAATCCTTCGGAGGCATTAATCACAACAAAATTACATGAAACTTGCAGTTAGTCTCATACTTTCATTAAAACACACAGAGGTAGGATGGTAAAATAGGGAGAAATAGAACGCACAAAGCGACAAAATTGAAAATGTTGCAGGCTCGGTTTGATTAAGCCTGTTCATGACCGAAAAGTTACCGTCCACGCCTTCTAGCACCGGCTGAAACAGCATTCAATATTTAATCATGGCAATGGTAATGGTGAAATTTTGTGTTTAGAAACATCCGCAGCTTTGTTCATCTGTGTAAAGCCCGTCTTCAATTTACTTATCAAAAATATACCGGAATTGGTTTCAAGCATTGTTCATGACATTTAACATATCAACTTTCTTTTCCTATATTGTCAATAAGTTCCCTACTTAAACAAATAAAATACTTTTCTATATGCCAAGCTTTCCATACATTTTCATTCGTATATCTTGAATAAATTTAATTTCAAATCTAGTGTACATGAAACAGTCTTCTCTTGTGATATTAAAGGCGCTGTCCCACTTACTTTCTGGAAATGATAAAATTTCTTTCTCTCTATGGCTACAAAAATTATGAACTTTCTCTTTTTCTTCGCTGAAGAGATTTACTTCTTCCTGAAAGTCTTCCCCCAATGCTTCTACCCTATTAAGAAATTCAGACAAAGCCCTCTGGTACAAGGCGAAATCTAAATACAGGTGTGCTTTCAAGTTTTTTATATCTCCCTCAGCGAAACGTCTGGTCTCGTGTTTGGCAACTAGTTGTTTCATGTACATGATGTCTTTAGTATGCCAGTTTAAAACTCGCTTTAATAGAACCAGTGACTCGTCCATTCTTTCATTGATCATGATAAGGTCAAACTCTGTCATAAGTTTAGTAATATATTCTTCTATTGCTTGCTGTAAATTCTCAGGTTTTTCTTTGCTGTTTGGAAACAAGCAAAGCGGGAATCCGAATTCAAATGCCATTCTATTATTTGACATGGAGTGCAATCCTTTATCATAATGAAACGGATTGGCTGCAAAGTCGGATAAATTTGCTGTCGGATACATGTTGAAATATCTAAAAGAAGATTCTAATCTGGTTATTGGGTCCCGGACAAGACCGATATAAGCAGTATCTTTCGGGAGAAACTTTTGAAATTGCGTTCGATTGTATATTACGTGACAGCAAAGTATTTCAAAATGGCGTCCTGCCGGTGGAGGAACAACATTTTTTTCTGTTAGTGAATTTTGATAACTGATCATGTTCGGAAATTTCGATTCAGCTAAAGATACATCATCATGTGCTAGTATGAATGTAAGATTTCTAGAGTCTCCAAATCTTAAGAATATATTTTGCACAGTTGAACTTCCAGTTTTATGAACTTTAAGAAATGCTACATGACGTTTTTCGGCAGTCTGCGTCACGCCATGTACGTGTATCTCTCCAGCAGTAGCTTTTGTTGTCGTTTGTGACTGTGTTGTAGATATCTGTTTATCTGCTTGAGGCGGTGCTGAAGTTGTAACTTCTGTTGTTGTTGTAGTAGTTGTTGATGCGGCGGCGGCGGCGGTGGTGGTGGTAGTGGTGGTCGTAGTAGTTGTTTTCTTAGTGGTGGTGGTGGTCACAGAAGAAGCAGCATCAGTAGTCGAAAAATCCATAACTTTAACAATATTTTCATCCTTTTTATTTGTTCCATCTTTGAATCCGATATTATTGCTCAATCCAATTTTATCCAGTTTTGGTTGACCTTTTCTCCCGCTGGGATTATTCTCCCCATCTTGGTCTAACATCGTCTGGAAATCGACCACTTCACGGACAACTTCTGTGGTTTTGTACCATGTCAACCAAATCAGAGCTGCAACAACTGACACCGTTAATATACTCCTGTAATTTAGAAAGTATAAAGACTGATCCAACATGTTATTATAATAGCGTTAAAGTTAACATAATTTCCACTTATGTTTTGCTTTAAACAGATGGGTCCACGGTTTCGTTTAAGTTCAATCATAATGTAAGGAAACCTTATTATCTTGAAATATAGCTGTAACATTTTGTGAGTGACTTTGTAGTCATAATTGTTACGATGACAATAGATTTTATACAAAGATACGTGTAAATGTCTCGTGAAAGCTCAAACTGAGAATTTTCATTTGAAAAATTAGTTCACTGTTTCTGTTCAAATTTTACATGGTAACGTCTATCCGGTAGTCTATAATAATTAAGGAAAATAGAATCTCATTTAAATGAAATAATATCACAAAACTCGCATTTACTTGTTATGACAATAGTCCGTCTAGTAAATAAATATTTTACTCACTTAACGTAGAATTGAAATCCCATCTGGAAGAGAAAAAGGGGCTAAAGTTTTCACAGATATTCAAAATTTAAACAAATCTATACGATATCACAGATAAGAACGAACAATTATCCTTAAATTACTAATAATTTCCTAACAGAACTAGTATAATTTGAAAGAATATGCATTGAAGAATCTTAGTGTAACACGTGGTTGTATACGTCCAATGAAATAATCTTAAATCAATTTGAGCAGCTGTCTCTCTGCTTGTTTCACTTTCCAGAGGAACCTAAATGACCAAAATAATCCTCATTGATTAAAACTTACATTTGGTTTAGTCCGGTTCTGTCTGGAATACTTGCCGCTTAATCCGACAAATATTTACATGGTCCCAAATCGCGTCAACTCGCGTAAAACTTTTTTTTTCATTCATCAAATGCCCGGTAAAATCGTTACACGCAAAATAGTTTTTCTTTTGAAACAATATCGAAAACATTTTTGTGAAGTAGATTATTAAATGGAAAAGCCTGTAGATTAATGTAAGTCACTCCATGTCCTGTATCACGTGATCGCTTTTGGGCCATCCTAGTTATATAGAAAAACTTTCACACGGTGTTTCTCGTCAGCCAGTCTCAAGAAATAGTATCACTGGACAACGTAGCAATTCTAATGAGAGAGCATTTTAAGATACTATAGTAGTATTGCTGGACAACGTTGCCATTCTTATCGGAGAGCATTTTTAGATACTATAGAAATATTGCTGGACAACGTAGCCATTCTTATGGGAGAGAATTTTTAGATACTATAGATCGAAGTATTGCTGAACAACGTAGCCATTCTTATCGGAGAGCATTTTAAGATACTATAGAAGTATTGCTGAACAACGTAGCTATTCTTATCGGAGAGCATTTTTAGATACTATAGAAGTATTGCTGGACAACGTAGCAATTCTTATGAGAGAGCATTTTTAGATACTATAGAAGTATTGCTGGACAACGTAGCCATTCTTATGGGAGAGCATTTTTAGATACTATAGAAGTATTGCTGGACAACGTAGCCATTCTTATGGGAGAGCATTTTTAGATACTATAGAAGTATTGCTGGACAACGTAGCCATTCTTATCGGAGAGCATTTTTAGATACTATAGGATTATTGCTGAACAACGTAGCCATTCTTATCGGAGAGCATTTTAAGATACTATAGAAGTATTGCTGAACAACGTAGCCATTCTTATCGGAGAGCATTTTAGATACTATAGAAGTATTGCTGGACAACGTAGCCATTCTTATCGGAGAGCATTAATAGATACTATAGAAGTATTGCTGAACAACGTAGCCATTTTATCGGAGAGCATTTTAAGATACTATAGAAGTATTGCTGGACAACGTAGCAATTCTTATGGGAGAGCATTTTAAGATACTATAGAAGTATTGCTGGACAACATAGCCATTCTTATGGGAGAGCATTTTTAGATACTATAGAAATATTGCTGGACAACATAGCCATTCTTATGGGAGAGAATTTTTAGATACGGTACTATAGAAATATTGCTGGACAACGTAGCCATTCTTATGGGAGAGCATTTTTATATACTATAGAAATATTGCTGGACAACGTAGCCATTCTTATGGGAGAGAATGTTTAGATAGTATAGAAATATTGCTGGACAACGTAGCCATTCTTATGGGAGCGTAATTTTAGATACAAACTTGTATTGCTGGACAACATAGCCGTTCTTATTTGACTGCTTTTGTAGATACTAGAAGTATCTTTGGACATTCTAATGGGAAACCATTTTGATACCATAGTAGTCACGCTGGACAACGTAGCTATTCTAATGGAACACAATTTTCAGTTACTAGTATTATGGCTAGACAACGTAGCGATTTGAATGGGACACCACTTTTAGAAACTAGTAGTATCACTGGACAACGTAGCTTTCTTTATTGGACAGCATTTTCAGATACTATAGAAGTATCGCGGGACAACGTAGCCAATCTAATGGGGCAGCTTTTTCGAATACTAGTGGTTTCGCTGGACAACACATCTATTTTAATGGGACAGCATTTTCAGATATTATAGTAGTATCGCAGGACAATGTAGCCCCGTTTTCAGATACTTGTAGTATGCTTGACAACGAAGCCATTCTTATTGGAAAACATTTTAAGATACTACAGTAGTATTGCTGGACAACGTTGCCATTCTAATGGGACACCATTTTCCGATACTATAGTAGTATTGCAAAACTATGAAGCCATTCGAATGGAACAACAGCTTTAGATACTTCAGCATTTTCAAATACTAGACTTGTGGTATCGTTTGACAACGTAGCCATTCGAATGGGACAAAAGTGTTAAATACTAAAGAAGTATTACTGGGCAGCCATTCTAATGGAACAGCATTTTCAAATACTTTTAAATTTGCCGTTATTCATATACACATATGTGTTATCTATAAACTGTTGTCGTAACTTCCCTTTCACTTTTATAATTGTGATAAATAATTACTTTATTTTGCTTTTATAAAGCCATAAATTAAGACCGATGTATTTTAGTCTTCGTGAACTTTGTACTCATATATGCTACCTTCTTGAAATAATAATTTCTATTTTTCATGTTTATTTTAAAATCAAAATGCTATTCGATCGTCATAATTACATGTATATTGGTATTTCAACGGTATCAGTCATTCATGATTCGTCATTTGAATTTTCTTTTTCAAAAAAAGTTATTGATAATTGTGATTAAGAAAAGGTCTTAATAAACACAAGCTTAAAAACAGAAATCTCACCATGTGGTGAAACATATATATATGTACAACCTAGATCATTTATATGGAAACCCGTGATACCGGTATATTCAAGGTAAGGCTTCTAAATAAATACTCAAATTTCGGGGTAAAACATGTCGTTAATAGAGACTTATTAAAATGCTTATATTCATAAATTCACATTTCAGGCGAGATAAAACATTTTTAACATAACTGGAATGTCAACTCGTGCTCGGCATCCCGTGTAACAATTTTTGGTCTGCAGATTTCCGGAAAAAATGTTTACTTAAAAAAACAAAGAGTTTTTTAAAAACAACTTTTACATATTGGGAAATGCATCGTGCAAACCGAACACTATCAAGTACTAAGGGAGATAATTATTTATGACAAAACTATGTCAATAACGGGGTTGTCACAACTAAGGTATTTTTTACATGATTCGCTCAAACATTTCCCTGATTCATGCATTTTCATGAAAATTTTGAAACTGTATCCAAAAGTAAAACAAAGTAAGTAACATTTACAATTCACAAAGAAAAGGGCCAAATTATGCAAAAAAAACCCTTACTGCGTTGGTCACACAAGAGAAATACGGTGATAAATACCGCAAAATCAGTGATTAATCGCATGAATCTTGAACCATTTTACTCTTTGTTTTAAGTTTTATATTTTTAACATGTTTGACTGTCTTGAAATATTTTGTTCATCTGGAAACATCAAGCAGCGTCAACAATTATTTTGTGAAAATGATCCAAAATAAAAAGCGTTCAAACAATTTTAATTAATTCAAGAATCGCACAAAAGATATTATTCCGAATACACTTCTTAAAAAATATCTTTCCATTTAAAGTGCCGATTGAATCAATATATAATGTATGAAGGCTCAGTAAAGTATGACATTATAATTTGTAACACCTTTTTAACTAAGCTTTTGTCATCGTAGTTTCACAAGAGAAGACTGAAATGCATTGTCAATACAGTCATGTCTGTATAAACTGTGACCACATGGTGAACCAATTTTGACCAAACGGGCAAGATTTACAGAAACTTACCATAAGGTGATTCTACATGCCAGGGCATAGTACTTTCAGAGAAAAATTTTTAAGACATTTTACTACCGGTATTTAAGTCTTTGTTAACTAGGTGGATCCCAGAACAGGGCCATTTTTTACCCACAGAAGCATGCCATGTATTATTTTCGTATATAAACCTATGTTAACTAAGTATATCCTAGGGTAGCGAACAATTTTGACCCAAGGGGCACGATTTATATAAATGTAGTGGGCAACAAGGTGATGCTACATACTCTGGGCAACGTAGTTTCCTGAAAAATTTCAAAAGCTTTCATTTTTTTAAAGTTTAGTTTAGCTCCTGTGAACTATTTATTTATCACTGAAATAATTCATATAGCTTTTACAGAGGACCACCAAGTATAATTCCTTTGACACTTGGTCAAAATCCATGAAGTGGTAAAGGAATTAAAGAATTTGTGGACAACAGGCAATCTGCCATCTCAAACGTTCACCTCTGAGCAGTTCTCAGGTGAGCTAAAAGCAAGGCTGTTAATCCTGAATTTCTAAAATTAACCTATTCAATTACTAGTCTTTTATTCTAATGCAGAGCTTGTCAATTTAGGGATATAAAAGTTGAAAAGTCAGTCAACAATCCACGAGGACTGTCCGACAATTACTGGTGGCAAAGGCAAGCAACTTCCGATTCCAGAAAGGTACAAGTCATTGTCATTATCAACATGAAAGGTAGGATAAATGTCATAAAGCTCATTGGGACACAAGATTTTGAAGTCCATTCATACGACATTAATTTAGGTACCAGGTAGAACACAATTACGTAATCAACTTCCTTTCAGGGCCCAAAGGTCTTCCTCAAATCAGAGGCAGAAATGCAGGTATATAAAAAGCAGTGCTTACCATTTAACAAATTAAACATGCTCCAATAGCCTAAAATGTGAGATTCTTGCATCGATAAAACATGGAACTTGTTTGTTCGTTTCATTCGCCTCCCCCCCCCCCCCAAACAGTATTTCAGTCATAAAGGCGGGTAGTTTCCTAACCATCGTTCCTGGAGTTACACCAGTACTAGATTACCTTCCTCCGCGCTAAACTACCAAAGCATTTCCCAGGGATCGAACCCACGCCAGAGAAGTAACTGGATTAGAAGTTATCGGCTCTAACCCCTCGAACATGGAACATAAAATGTTAAAGATACAAAAGATAATCAAGAAATATACCCAAAATTCACTTTAAAATCTATTTTTGTGCTTCTGGGTCATTTCGCATAAAAAAGATTAATCTAAACAAATAGAAAATGCATTAGATTTCAACAATCAACTATCTTCTCAGCTACCTTCAAGTTTGATTTTCAGTTGAGGTCAAATTAAAACACAATATAAATCAGTTTTTTTCTCTTTATTGAATGTACAAGTAACATCAAGATCACTTTTTAGGTTTAGCTGACGGGATATCTTCTTGTGCCTTTTCCTTGGCCTTCTTTTCTCTGTAACCTGTAATGATATGTTGACTTTATACATTGAAGTAATAACAAAGGTGTAATGATGTTATCAAATCATATCATTTTATGTTGCAAAGATGAAACTAACTGTTTTCATAAAATAATCAAGCTTGTTAATTCATTAACATTTCCATTTTTATAAGAAACAAGAGCACTGCAAAGATGGCAATATATGCCTGAGTATTAAAAAATATTCTGTCAGTGTTTTATCTTAATTCTCCTTATGATACTATATGACCTCCAACAAAGTGGAGGCATTTTTGACCCTAAGCCCATGATTCATAAAACTTTTATAGAGATCTACTAGGCAATGCTATATGCTAAATACAGAGGCATAGTATTCATTCACACAAAAATAAGATGTTTTTCTTATACCTTAGTCTACATACTGGGATCCTACATATTACCAGACAAAATATGATGGTGTTTATCTGTAACTTTTATTTAAAATAATAAAAAAGAATAGAATTATACCCAAATAATTTTGGGTTCTTAATACACGTAAACATTACTTTATCAAACTGAAATTAAACATTTGACCCTAGAAATGTGTCTTTAAAGTAGGGAATTATAAGAGAAAAAAAATTGCGTAGACAACTCAATTTACTGGACATTGTGTTTCAAAATTTTTTAAAGTCGTGAAATGAAATTAATCTTTAAACAAGCATTTGATAGTATTGCGGGCAATACAGTAGTCCCCTACCGGTCCCTCAAAAAGTTCTTTAATTGTCATACACACCTGTGTATTGCCATTTATAATGAATTTGAGGATGAAGTCTGTATTTGAAAATATCAACCACAAAACATAATAAAATAAGTTTGTCTATATCACAGTAATGTGTTAAGTTTCCATGCTTAGTAAGGAAATTATGTTTATACAACCTTGTCATATTATTACGATGTGGGATTTTAAAGTAAATCCTATAAGGAATGAAGAAGTTGGAGTGAAAATACCAGTTTCTCGAAAAAAATCTAAGTTCAAGGGGGACATAATTCTGGAAATAGTCTTGCTAGAGTATTTAACCTTCTCAAAAATGTCGAGTGATAATAAGAAACATATATATGAAGTTTGAAGTAGATACATTAGGAAATAAAGAAGTTATTTAAAAAAGACAACATTTTTTCCCCTAAAAAATCTAAGTTCAAGGGAGGTAATACTGATATTTTTTGTGCTAGAGTTATAAACCTTGTCACATATGATGTGGTTGATGACCAGAAACTTATATTTAAAGTTTGAAGTAAACACCTTAAGAAATAAAGAACATATAGTGAAAAAGCTGAAAAATTTAAATCAGAAATCTTGAAATTCAGGCTATTTGTTGCCATAGCAACCAGAATTTTCAACATAGGAAGAAAAGAAAAATATGTGCATAATCTCCAGACTGCCATCTACCCATATTTCAAGTTTCATAAAAATATTTTCAGTACTTTTTGAGTTATCACTGGATCCAGTTTATGTGTTAAATTTGCCATATTTTCAGACTATTTGTTGCCATAGCAACCAGAATTTTCAACATAGGAAGAAACTAGAAATGTGTCATCATGCCACGGATGCCCCCGCATGCAGCCAAAATTTCAGATGTTATAATATTTAGTTCCAAATTTGTTTGCACAAATTATTGTTTTCATTTTAAGTTCAAAGCCCTTAAAACTTTTCAACGTTTACACAAACCATTTTCATACAATGCTCAAGGCACTGAAATTATTCAGTCTTAACCTTTTGAAAATAGCATATTTCATATTTGTAGCCAAAATAATGGCTACATACATTTCCACAAAAGTATGAGTGCTGAAACTGAAAGTTCAAATTTTTTCCAATATTCAAGAAAGATAAGTTTGTCCAAAATCATTGAACCATGACCAAATTCAAACTTAAACTGCTTATTCCTAAGATGTATCTATATTATTTTCAAAGTGAAAGGATAATAACTCTGCCAAAAAATCATCGAACCATGACCAAATTCCAACTTGACCTGCCCATTCCTTTGACATATCCATATGTCAAATTTGAGTTGAATATGTAACACTGTTGGGTAGATAAGTAATAGAAAGAGCACCGAAACACGAGGCTATCTGATTTGTACGAGGGGGCGTAGCCCCCGAGTATTAATCAGATTGCCGAGTGTTTTGGTGTTCTTTCTCTTTTGTATCATAGTCAAACATAAAAGCACGTTCCCTGTTGTCACAATATAAAACCCCGGCAAAAATGAACCAATGAACGAACATCTGAATATGACATTTCTGTCGCTTTCCCTTTCTCTGCCGTCACAATATGTAAACCCCAGCAAAAATGAGCCAATCAATGGGCATGCTCTGGAGTGCGGGTAACTAATACCCGCACTCCAGTTAACGCACTGTGCATGTATATGTATACGATTTAACCCTGACACATTTTCAACAGAAAAGTCTCCAAACTATGATACAATGAACAGAAACTGTAAATTTCATATTATTTTCAAAGTGAAAGGGGCATTACTCTGCCAAAAATCATTGAACCATGACCAAATTCGAACTTGGCCTGGGCATTCCAAAAACATATCCATATGTGAAATTTGAGTTGAATGTGTTGTACTGTTGGGGAGATAATAAACAGAAACTGAAAATTTCATATTATTTTCAAAGTAAAAGGAGCATAACTCTGCCAAAAATCATCGAACCATGACCAAATTCAAACTTGACCTGTATTTTCTCATGACATATCCATATGTCAAATTTGAGTTGAATGTGTTGTACCGTTGGGGAGATAATGAACGGAAACTGAAAATTTCATATTATTTTCAAAGTAAAAGGGGCATAACTCTGCCAAAAATCATCGAACCATGACCACATTCGAACTTGACCTGTATTTTCTCATGACATATCCATATGTCAAATTTGATTTGAATGTGTTGTACCGTTGGGGAGATAATGAACGGAAACTGAAAATTTCATATTATTTTCAAAGTAAAAGGGGCATAACTCTGCCAAAAATCATCGAACCATGACCAAATTCAAACTTGACCTGTATTTTCTCATGACATATCCATATGTCAAATTTGATTTGAATGTGTTGTACCGTTGGGGAGATAATGAACGGAAACTGAAATTTCATATTATTTTCAAAGTAAAAGGGGCATAACTCTGCCAAAAATCATCGAACCATGACCAAATTCGAACTTGACCTGTATTTTCTCATGACATATCCATATGTCAAATTTGATTTGAATGTGTTGTACCGTTGGGGAGATAATGAACGGAAACTGAAAATTTCATATTATTTTCAAAGTAAAAGGGGCATAACTCTGCCAAAAATCATCAAACCATGACCAAATTCGAACTTGACCTGTATTTTCTCATGACATATCCATATGCCAAATTTGAGTTGAATATGTGCAACCGTTACTAAGATAATGAACGGAAACTGATGATGACGGAATGACAGAATGACGGAATGACGGAAGGACGGAACAGGGTAACACTATATGCCCCGGCCATTACATGGCGGGGGCATAAAAAAAAAGACGTGCATAATCTCCATACTGCCATCTATCCATATATCAAGTTTCATAAAAATATTTTCAGTACTTTTTGCGTTATCGCAGGATCCAGTTTTGTGGACGGACGGACTGACAGACAGACAGAGGGTAAACCTAAAGTCCCCACTGGTTAAACCGGTAGGGGACTAATAATCAGCAAGGAAACTATGACTATTGAATGGCAAGGTTAATTAGAAATAGATACAGCAGCAGAGGCCAATATATAAGGTGTAATTGAAATGAACACTATTATCTCAATTAAATTATTGATTCTTTATGACCCTTAAACGTATGAAACATTTTGATATTCAAATGGAATTCTGTTCTTTGTCATACAGTTTCCTTTTGGTCATCATGTAGCATGTTACAAAAGCCATAAAATCTATTTTATTTACATTTCATGTAGAGTTTCCTCCCATGGGCGTAACACGTTTCCTTATATGTTTTTTTTAATTTGCGTTTCTTTGTAAAAGACAACAACAAAATACTGTTTGGAATAAATTTCAAATTACTATCATTATTAAAATATGTTGGGATTGTCTTATGAGGTAACGTTGAGAAGAATTAAAAGTAAAACCTATCTAAAATAACCCATTACGGGCCTCCATATTCCGGCCTGCGCAGAACAGATTATTCCCCCGCATGACCATGTCATGAAATAACTTGTAAACAAAAGGGTATGCTAGTAAATAAAGATCTGAATCAACAATAGGTTTTGTTGTTATTTACTTTGAAATAGAAAGTGTGTGAAGGATTCAGACTGTATGATTTTTTAATTGAAGCAAAACATTCAGCAGGAATAGCTTTTGTCCGGTAAACTGATTGTCCGGTAAATATATAGGATCCCAGAAGAGCTAGTGACTCTTATGGTAGGGCCAATTTTGACATGTATGGGCTTTGAAGTTTCACAAAATTAGACTTATTGTTATGTTTTCCTATAAAGTTTATAGTGCACAACATTATAAGCCGATTTTGCATATAAAAATAATTTGTCAGAGTTAAATTTTTTTTTTCAAAGTTACAAATAACTTTATCTTTTATGGGGATATCTGAGGAAATGATCTGTGCTTTTACTGTTTGTCTGTCCCTGCAATGCCAGGCCTATGCAGTGTCTGTGATTTTGTTTGCCATAAAAATAGCGGTGAAATGACCAAATTTCAGTGTGGGGTTTTAGCCAGGGCTTTACCATCAAATATAGAATTATTAGAAAGTGCAATGAGAAATGGTAAGTAATTCTGATATTATTTGTCTTACCTTGAAGTCTCTTGTTAGCCCTAGCAGTTCTAAGAGCAACATATGGGTTGTAACGTTTTTCATCTGCAGTGATAGCACGGGCCTTTTCTCTGCGTACTGACTGTCTAATTGGCATAACTGCAGCACCGGCTAATTGAGTTGCCATCTTGATTTCTTCTTCCTGAAATTCAACATGAATGAAAACAATAATATATAGGTCTTTTGACATTCCCTTGAAAGAAAAGGACATTCTTTCAGTAACTAGAACTCCGCGAGTCGGATGTGTCGCCTTGTGAACAATATAGTCTAGGAGAAATGGCCAGGACAAAAATGAAATTTGAAAATCAACAAAGGGCAATAACTCAAAAAATAAGAAATGCAGAGCAGCAGTTTCTGTGCACTGCACTTCTTATCAATAAGATCTATCATCCTATTAAGTTTCAAGTCTAAAGCTTTTATAATTTATGAGAAATGGCCTGGACAAAAATAAAGTATGAAAATTAACAAAGGGCAATAACTCAAAAAATAAGAAATGCAGAGTACCAGTTTTTGTGCACTGCACTTCTTCTTAATGAGATCTATCATCCTATGAAGTTTCATGTCCATAGCTTTTATACTTTAGGAGAAATGGCCTGGACAAAATTAAGTATGAAAATTAACAAAGGGCAATAACTCAAAAATAAGAAATGCAGAGTACCAGTTCTTGTGCACTGCACTTCTTCTTAATGAGATCTATCATCCTATGAAGTTTCAAGTCCATAGCTTTTATACTTTAGGAGAAATGGCCTGGACAAAAATAAAGTATGAAAATTAACAAAGGGCAATAACTCAAACAAGAGCTGTCACAGGAGACAGCGAAGCTCGACTAATAAAATACTGGACGCAGTAAGGAGGACAAAACTATGAAAGAAAAATCAATTATGTATAATTATGTATTAAGTTATAGTAAAAAAATAACATTTGTTAACATAAATTCCAAGATCAAGGGGAATAATTCTCGAAATAGTCATGCTAGAGTTATGGACCTTGCCACACAACGTTTGTGTAATGATAAGAAATATATATTTGAAGTTTGAAGTAGATACCTTGAAAAATAAAGTAGTTATTATATTTCTTAAAGAAAATCCTAAGTTAAAAGAGAGATAAATCTGTAAATATTGCTTCAAGAGTAATGAACATTGTCACATAAAATGTAATTGATGATAAGGAATAAGTATTTGAAGTTTGAGGTAGATACCTTTAAAAAAATAAAAAAGTTAAAATAAAAGATAACATTTTTCTAGTAAATAAATAAGTTTATGGGGAGATAATTCTTGCAATACTGGTGCTAGAGTTATGAACCTTGTCACATAAGATGTGGATGATGATAACATAAATATATTTGAAGTAAGAAGTTGATCCCTTTAGAAATAAATAAGTAACAGTAAAAAATAATATTTTTATGGAAAATTCTATATTCAAAGGGAGATAAATCTGAAAATATTGGTGCTAGAGTTATGAACCTTGTCACATAAGACGGGGATGATGATAACGTAAATATATTTGAAGTACGAGGTTGATCCCTTAAGAAATAAGAAGAATCAGTAAGAAATAGTATTTTTTGAAGAAAATTCTAAGTTCAAGGGGAGATAAATCTGAAAATATTGGTGCTAGAGTTATGAACCTTGTCACATAAGATGGGGATGATGATAAGGTACCAGGGCTCACACTGGCTCAAATAAAATAATAGCCAATATTTTCAACTTAAAAAAATAATAGCCAAAAGTTCAGCGGACTATTCACGATTTAGCGATTAACAACATAAGCAGTTGATTAAATAAACATTACATATAAAACTTTTTCAGTTTTATAAGGATTCTCAAATAAACTGACACATTTGTGTATATTGATAACTACCTTTTTTTAAATAGAACCACAACTTTAATTGTTATTATAGAACAGAATAAAAACGTTATAATTAGTATAATTACTGTACAACAATAATATTAAAGATTCATTATAACTTTACATAATGCTGTTATCAGACAACTTTTTTTGTTTGTTCTAATCAAATTTTGTCAGCTTATCATAACCACTGTCAATTTCCACATTTCACACAGAACTGGAGTAGATCTAGGTCATATTAGCCTATAGAAATGACACAAGTTTGCAAACTCATTCAAAGAATGCAGCCTTTTTTCTGAATAATTTACTGAAAAATATCATCATCACCAATGTAATACAAATTTTCTGCCATAGTAGTAAAGATTTTTAAACAGAACAGAGCTTATTTCACCTTTAAATAAATATTAAAATTATCGGTGTCGCGAAAATATGTGACAATCGGATTTTTCCTGTTTTCTGAAGAAATATTCACAATTTTGGTTGTTGTGCAAATAGTTGTTTGGAAGTTTATACTTTTTAAATATTTTACCATTGTTTTCCACTGGCGATTTAGTTAAGTAGCTTAAAACAAAAAATATATCAAAATTTGCAATTACTGCAATTCACGGTAAATTTTGGGTAAGTCAATATCCAGTTTATCAATTTTAAAACGATTTTTGTGGCTAATTGACGGATATTTGATGGCTATTATAAATGCTGGACAATATCTTTAAAGTACTTATACAATTATACATCTCGCATGTATTTTATCACCTCGGGCAATATAGTTAGCAGCACGTGACCGGTAAAAAGTTGACACTCAATTAAATGCACCCCGCTGGTGTTAATTGGGTCTACTGCATACATTATCGATTTTTACACCTTATATAAACACTGTTGGAAGTAAAAAATAATCGCCAGATTTTGTAGCCAAAATGCAAAAATAATCGCCAATCTTATAAAATAATCGCAAATGGCGACTATGGCGACCGACAGCGTGAGCCCTGAGGTACATATATTTGAAGTATGAGTTTGATCCCTTAAGAAATAAAGAAGTATCAGTAAAAAATAGTATTTTTGAAGGAAAATTCTAAGTTCAAGGCGAGATAAATCTGAAAATATTGGTGCTAGAGTTATGAACCTTGTCACATAAGATGTGGTTGATGATAAGGAACATATATTTGAAGTTTGAAGTTGATACCTTAAGAAATGACAAAGTTATAGTGAAAAATATTTTACTGCACCAAAACTTTAATCTAAAATCTGGACGCGGACGCCGACGCCGGGGCGAGTAGGACAGCTCTCCATATACTTCGTATAGTCGAGCTAAAAATAAGAAATGCAGAGTATCAGTTCTTGTGCACTGCACTTCTTCTTAATGAGATCTATCATCCTATGAAGTTTCAAGTCCATAGATTTTATACTTTAGGAGAAATGGCCCGGACAAAAATAAAGCATGAAAATTAACAAAGGGCAATAACTCAATAAATAGAAGCAGAGTACCGGTTCTTGTGCACTGCACTTCGGGTCATTATAAGAAGCATGCATACCAAGTTTGAAGTCAATCCGACTTATAATGACTGACTTATGCTCTGGACAAGCTTAAGGGGACGCCGACAAAAGTAACCCCTATATGTCGCCTTTTTCAAGGCGACACAAAAAACTAACCTTTTCCAAGATTGAAAGCATTGTTTCATAATAATTTAACACTAATGATAATTTAACACTAATAATCTGAACTTCACCTCAAAAGGATAACAAATGCTCTTCTACCGACCTTTGGCATAAATTAAATCTAAAAACAAGTTCACAGGACATATATGCTCCTATCATGTGACATTTAAGTACAACCTTGACCTGGGTGTTACTCATGACGCACCTGACCCAGTGAAGACGTCTGCCAAATATTTTGAAAATACAAAATATTGAAGTTGTAAGTCAAAGATAGTGGACAAAGTTTGATGATCTTTGACCTCTAAATGCAATCTACCTAGGTGTGTATATGGATCTTTTGCATGATACATTGTCTCGATAGTGGTGAAAACATGCTAAAAATATTATCTCAACAATCCATTCAGAAACAAGTTATAACTTGTAAGGCAAACTGGATTTGACCTTTCACCACAAAAACTACCTTGAAGGTGCCAAAACAGTCTCACAGTGGAGAAAATATATGCTAAATATTTTGTAACCTTAGCCTTCAAGCTAGGGACCTAGCATTAAATTCAATAATAAGTTGTTCTTCCCCTCTTGCAAAAATACCATGTAATTATCTCCAAAATTGAAGGGAAAGACCCTACAATGAGAAAAAAGTTTTGTCTTTGGTATTATTAATCTGGACTTGTTTACTAACAATAAACATGTAATAATATTTTCTTAGGATGGCCTAAGAATTATTAGTGACTAAGAGTTGAGGATTTAACTTACAGTTGCATCACCCTTGGCTGGCTTGCTTGACTTCTTGGGGAAAAGAATCAATTTAGATTTGTACTCCTTCAATCTCTGTACATTTTGTTGAAGTGATTCCATAGATCTGTTTCTACGGCGATAATCTACAGCAATACCAATAGCCAGAGCTTGTCTTTTGTAAACACCAGCTGCCTAAACATAAAACACAATATTGTTAATATCCATTACTGATTTGAGATATATCAATAATTGATACAGAATAAATGATCAGTAATTTTCCAAATATAAAATAAAGCTTGTTTACCTTCAGTTCCTCAAGGGTGAATCCTCTACCAGCACGATTCTTTGTGTTGTACTTGATAGTTGGGCAACGGACAATTGGCCTTAAAGGTCCTGCAACAGGTCTTGGGGCAATAGTTCTAGCCTTCTTAACACGTGTAGCCCTACGCCTCTTCTTGCGCATGGGTTGATTGAACCAAGTTCTGACACGGTTCTGCCAATCTTTGTGGAAATGCCCATTAGGCACAATATTGTTCCTCTTGGGGGCCATGGTTGCTGAAAAAGACAAATGAAATGCTGGACTAATATATCAAAATCATTTTTCTCTATGACAGTCATTTTTGCAGAATCACCACATTAATTATTGTGAAACTTTTTGTTGTACAAATATAATAATTGATGGAAAATAAGATAATGACAATGTATCGAATTAAAGCAAGCTAGCACATCGGAAACTGGATTTATATATCTGTAAACTGTCAACATGTTGTTCAATTATGCTTGTTTCTAACATCACAAACACAAGTAATTGTTAAAATAGTTTATTTCTGCCTGGTGAAAAATGTTGACACCGAGAACTGTTATATTCATAACTTTCGTACTTGGATGTTGCATATCTTGTCTACAACGGTACAATACCATTTTTTTTCTTTTTTAAAATGTTTAAATTAAATAATTATTATTATATATGGATATTTTAATGCATGAATAACAATAATAAACGTATTTTAGTATTTTCAGGTCAAATCAATGAGACTAGCTCCTTTGGAATGAAATTTGCCTATCAATTAGCAACTTAACTTTCCTGCTTAATGTAATAGATTTTGAAGCATGCAGATGTAGAGATTTTCTTTAATGTGCTGTCATGGTGATAAGAATCTTTTAAATGCATAAGGAATTGCATCAAAACAATTTAGAAAATCGGAGATCACTTGAAAGCAATGAAAACAAAATGTGTATTGGCATTTTTTGGCAGTGTTCCCACTTACATTTTTCATTTGGGGTAGTTTTACCCCTTACCTTTGAAAACTGGGGGTAAAATAAAATTTCAGGGGGTACATAAATTTGTACAATAATTATATGAAATAAAAGAATAATTCCAAATCCATACATCAGACAATTATGCTGCTGTTTTCTTCACGATTCCCTCCAACCCCCCACCCTAGTTAAAATTAATTGTGACCAACACATTCTGGCATATATCACCATCTCAATTAATGTAACTATTTTTAAGATATTTTAATTTATAAACAGCATATAAATTGTTACTACACACCTTTGAACAAAACAAAGCTTCCTTTTTGGTGATATTTTTAATTAACAAAATCGGCATCGCGAAAATATGTGACAAATGAAAATTTGTCTGTTTTCTGCAGAAACATTCACAAATCCAGTTGCTGCTGATTAAAATTATATAAGAATTAATATTTTTTTAATATTTCAAGATTGTTTTTCATCGGCTATTCTTACAGGCATCGTAAAACAAAAATTTCAAATTTGTAATTTACGGCAATAATGCCAGTGGGGGGTCTGTAAACTTCATTGTCAATTGGGAGAATTTCTCACATTTCATCAATTTCAATGCACTTTAAGTAATTTTTGTTTTAGAAATTGCTCAAAAAAACTATTTTTTGAATTATACATGATTAAGGTTACGACTTTCTGTGCGTATTTTTACCCTCTTGCCAAAATTTCTGTACGTGAATTTTGTTATTTATGCGTAAAATACGCACATATGTGCGTAAATGGGAACACTGTTTGGTTTACTGACTAAAGTTTGTGCACGAGAAATTTTGAAAGGTGCATCATCTCACATTCATATCAACGGCTTAAGCATAATTCAATGTTAAAACAAATTATTCATTCTGAAGTAGAGAAAAGAAAAACAGAACTGTCGGTGCGACTTTACAGCTGCCACAAAATGTATAATCGAGACAGATGCACCAATTCAATAAATGTGGGTTGACAAGGCCGGAGCAAGGCAGAGAGAGCGGTCAGGTCCCTTATGGTCTATGGAAACTTATATTCCTTCATGTTAAACCTCTGCATAACCGGTTTATGTTTACAAGGACAATTTATTCTTCTTGTCTATTTCAAAACACAAGTAGGATATAACATGTGGTTCAAAGTTTATTTCTGCATCCTGCTGACAAATCTTAAGAACGGACACGGTAAGATTTACTCTATACACATAGATATAGATATAACCATTTACATGTCAATACCTTTCGTTCAACAACCAACCGGAAAAGGAAGTACACTTGTTTTTCAGAGTTAAATTCCGTAATCCGTACCCGGAAAGCTTACGGAATAGACGGGGAAAACTTGTCACCGATTATTACATTAGAGAGATAGGTGCCTCCGGTCCAGGGGTGTATTTATTTATTTATTTATTTATTTATTTATTTATTTATTTATTTATTTATTTATTTATTTATTTATTTATTTATTTATTTTCAATGCTTAATGTTACATATAACTTTTAAATATAGAAATTGCAGCACGACACCAAAACTAAAGTGCTTTTGAAAAATGAAAATATTAGCATTTTTTAGACTTTATGGGCCTAATGTTTAAGTACATTAAAATGTAGAATGTGCGTTGTTAAGACATAAATTACTAACATGTATATAAAAATCACAGCTAGAAATATGAATGGGACAAGCCAAATTGCAACTAAGAAGAGCGAAGATATTTTAAAACTATAAAAGCCATATTACAAGCTTTAGCTGTTTGGTAAAGACAACAATTAACTTTAGACATTCATTATGATTACATTTGATATAGAAATTAAGATGGAAATATCGAATTCGAAATTAGTAAATTAACGAGGATAATTGAGCAGAATAGATAAAAAATATTAAGTGATCCATGGTTATTAAGCTCGAAATTTAATATTTCTTATAGGTTCCTATAAACCAATAGAAATTCAGATGTGACCGGAAAAGTAATTTTTGTTTGCATATCTTCAAAAGTATTGAAAATTCACACATTCAAATATGGCCCAATTTAATGAGCGGTATGTACAGTAAACAAGTACATGTATATTAAAGATCCAGTATTGTCCAACAACATTGACCTGGCACTCTTGCATTTGAACCCATAGTCAGTAAATTCATTAAACGTTACTATCTACTTGAAAATCGATATGAATGTATATAACCAATTGTTAAATGGTCTAAATTATATATCCCTCTTAGCACAGTCAATAAGGGCTTTCATTTCAAGAATATAGACGTAGGTTCATAGGTTCGAATCCTGGTTCAGCCACATTTATATTTTTTTCTTTTCTTATTCTAAAATTGCCATTCCTCTCTAAACTCGTGCAAAACGTTTTGATTTGTGTGTGTGTGTATTCTATCAGTGTAGTATTTTTAATTTGTATTATGAACGCGGTGTCCTTTTTATCAATTAAAGAAAATGTAATGAAATAAAACATAAAATGGTATAAAAAAAAACACTTAAAAGCAATCCTAAAAACCAGATGAAGTAAAACGATTTCAAGTTAATTCTTGCAAGTAAATTTCCAAAAAAAAAAAAAAAAAAAAAAATGCATGTCCTCATAACGTGTTGTTGGTAAGGTATCGAACCAGAGAACTTCAGATCAGTTGTCAGGCGTCTATACCAATACGCCACAGCTTTAAATGACTTGTGAAGTTAACAAAGATATCGTTATATTCGTTAGATACCACTGTTTATCACTTGACCTTTACGGAAATTAATGAAGTGCCAGGTCAATATTGTTGGACAATATGTTGTGATCAAAATGGTAAATTGTGTGTGTTTGCGTTTGTTTACCCTCGCCACCGGAAAGTGACCATATGGGCGAGCAGAAAAAAATGGTAAACCACACGAAGAGAATAATATATATGTACATAATTGTGCAAATAAAACAATTTTCAAACATCGATAAATATGTAAAATATGAACTGCAAATATTTGTGCATATTATATAATCATAAAAATATATGCATTCATTTCTTATTGTAGTGATATAGTAGTCGATCGTGATGGTCATGTTTACAACTGCTCTGATATTTTTGTTGTTTTAAAACGCCTAATGGATTTAAGGGTGGATGAAAATCATATGTACTTTTTCAGTTTTCAAAGGAGTTTTCATTTTAGAAGTGTATATTTCTAGATATCATCTGATTTTGACGTTATTGTGCATTTTTTTAAAAATCCTCTTTGTTCTACTGGATATATATTGGATTTTCAAAAATAGGTTATCATTTGCATAGTGAGCGATAATCGGTGTTTTCACATATAACGGTGATTCTTGTATTTATGGATTAATGGATTAAATGGATTAAGCAAAAATAGAGATTTCGACCACCGTGTTTCGCTATGAATACAACAGGACAATACACTATTATAATTTGGTAACAGTACTTGTCTTTACACCTGAATTTTATAAATGTTTTCTAAATGTCGGATAATCCAAACGATACTCCTTATAGTGGCAAAAAGAAAAATAAAAACAAAAAGAGACGTAAAAGTGCTGTATCCCCAAACTTGAATAGCGAGCAACCAGAAAAGCGTCTTTCGGTAATGGCCCAAATCACGCCGCCAATGTATTCGGGATACAATCTGACTTCCCCACCTCCCTCACTTGGACCTCAGCAGTATTCTGGGCAACACTATCCTCCACATTTACAATTTGTTACCAACTCATCTGTGCAGACTCCCACTTCTGAACAGTCGGCCACACTTAACACCACAATTTCGCCTGGTAGTCTTGGAGATAATCCCTCATCCAGTGCTCAAAATGTTCAAAATCAATCATGGTTCTTGACATTATTGGCAGAGTTGAATGCAATAAAATCAAGCCAATACGCTTTAGAAACAAAGCTTTCTAAACTTGATAAAATAGAGTCAGATGTTCTCAATATTTCAAGCAATATGAAAAAAGTTGAAAACCGTATATGGTCTCTTGAGGAATCTATGGGGCAAACTACTACCAAATTGAACGATTTAGAAGCAAGCAGAAACTTTGACTCTGAAATGTGTGATGATTTAAAAAAGAAACATGAAGAAGTTATAAATGCTTTGAAGGCAGAAAAATCAAAAAGTGATGGCTTATTAAAATCAGTTGATGACCTAAGACGTGAGAAAGTTTCGTTGAAAAATGATGTTATTGACCTAAAAGGGCGTTCAATGAGAGATAACCTGTTATTCTACAATATTGATGAAGAGAAAGATAGAGAGGCTAGAAAGAAAGAAAATTGTTACAGAGAAAGTATTAAAGTTTTGTGTTGACAAGATTGGAATAATTGACGCATATAGATATAAAATTGATAGGGCGCATCGTGTCGGAAGTCATGAACATGGCAAAATACGCCCAATTGTTGCTAAGTTTAACTTTCACCAAGATAAGATGGAGGTGAAAGAAAAAGCAAGGCTCAAATTATCTGGAACTGATGATGGTGTAAGTGACCAATACCCTCAGGAGATCCGTGAGAGGCGCCAAAAACTTATCCCTTATCTTGTTCAGGCGAGAAAAGAAAATAAAACAGCAGTGCTTTCATATGATACACTGTATATCGATAATCGATCTTACACAGTGGACCGTCTCCCGCCAGGTCCTGTCCCAATTCTCGAGCGTCGCACTCGAGGAAACAACCTTACATTTCAGGTCGGGACCAGAACCAACATATGGTCACAGATAGTGTGCAGGCGTAGGAAAACGTAAGGAGGCAGCTAAAATTTCTCTCGTGGAATATCCAGGGAATTAAAAATAAATTAACTGATAATGACTTTTTGGACTTTGTGAACGGCTTTGATATTTTGATTTTGACAGAGACATGGAATTCAAATGTGTTAAATATTGACTTAAATAATTTTGAATATTTTTCATGTCCTCGGCCGAAATATAATAAGAAAGCTAAAAGGTACAGTGGTGGGGTAATTGTGTACTTTAGAAGTGAATTTAAAGGTCAAATTGAGTTAGTTTCATTAAATAACAAAGGTATAATATGGTTTAAATTACAAAAATCAATGTTTGCATGTTCAAATGATATGTTTTTTTGTTGTTGTTATATACCTCCTGAAGATTCAAAGGTATATAAACAATGTGAATCACCTTTATACGAATTTGACTTTTTTGAACAAATATCTGATGATATCAGAAAGTATAGTCGGCTTGGATATGTGACAATATGTGGTGACCTAAATGCTCGAACTGGTGAAAGACCAGATATGATTGAAAATATACACCTTGAGCGTTTTATTGATTTACCTGAAGAAGACGATATTCCTATAGGAATCCAAGCTCGAACTTCCTTTGACAAACAAATCAATAGTTTCGGTAATAAATTAATTACATTGTGCAAAGAAAATGCTGTCTATATTGTTAATGGCCGTCTTGAACCAGGTCATTTTACATGTTATAATCTTATAAGAAACTGCAAAGCTGCAAGTGTTGTAGACTACATTATTGCCGATTCAAATGTTTTTTCTCTTATTGATGTTATGAAAGTTCATGACCTTTCAGAATTTTCTGATCACTGTCCAATTTCGTTTTCAGTTTCATATGTTTATAACAAATCTATTGCAAATGAAGATATAACTTATGACAAAATAGTATGGGAAGATATCGATAATGATAAATTTGATTCATTATTGAATGAATATAAATATTCTTTTGATGACATTACAAATAATTTATCGTGTGATAACATTGACATTGATACTTGTATAAACTTGTTTTCTGATTTAGTTTTTGATATATCATTCAAAGTGAATGGTAAAACTATAAAGAAGAGTTCAAAAAGAAAACCTTCCAATTTTAAAACGTCATTATGGTTTGACAATGATTGTAAGCGAAATAAAAATGAATTTTACAGGTGCAAAAGATTATTTAAAGATGATCCGTCAGACCGCAATAGAATTTATTTTTGAATGCACGAAGCATTTTTTGTGCAAGTAAGCGCAAAGCTAAAAAGCAATATTTTTATCAGGAAAAGAAAACGCTTTCTAAGTTGAGCAAGACTAATACTAAACAATTTTGGAAATATATTAAAAAGTATAAAACTAAATCGAGTAATGCAAATCATGATGTTAGTTTACATGAATTTTGTTGAATACTTTAGTAATATGTCTAATACACAGCATGAAAATGTTTTTAACCCTGAAAATTTTTCTAACAGAACAGATACGGTACAGATTGAGAGTCTTGATTGTAAATTTAGTATTGATGAAATACGTAAGACAATAGCATGTTTAAAAAAGGCATAAAAGCTGTGACATTGATAAAAATGTAGCGGATTTTTTCATAGATTCTAAAGATTTTATTGCTCCTTATCTTGTAAAACTTTTTAATAATATATTTGATAAAGGTGAATATCCTGAATCTTGGAGTAAAGGCGTTATCATTCCTATTTTTAAAAAGGCGATCGTAAGGTACCTTCAAATTATAGAGGGATTACAATTGTCAATGTCTTAGCAAAGATTTTCTCATTAGCGTTAAGAAACCGCATAAATAAATGGTGTGAAGAGGAAAAAGTTTTTAATGAATCTCAGTTTGGTTTTAGAGATGGGCGGAGTACTGCTGATTGTGTGTTTATATTGCATAGTATTATTCAGAAAATACTTTCAAAAAAATCTAAACTTTATTGTGCGTTCATCGATTATGAACGAGCTTTTGATACGGTTATACATGAAGCATTGTGATTTAAAACTTATAGAATCTGGTATCAGCTGTAAAATGGTTAGAATGGTAAAAGCCATCTATCAAAACGTAAAATCTTGTGTAAAAGACACAGCTTACTTGACCATTTCTGACATGTTTAATGTTTCTATTGGTGTTAAACAAGGGGAACCACTCTCTCCTCTATTATTCATTTTATTTGTTAATGATGTAAAAAATATTGTTGATGTGTCACAATTAACAGAGACTGATTTATCTTTACTATCTGTACATATGTTGTTATTTGCTGATGACATAGCTCTATTTACCACAAACCCAAATAGTTTGCAATCCTTTCTTGATAACATTTATATATACTCGTTGCAGTGGGGCCTTAAAATCAATGCTGGCAAGACTAAAATATGTATTTTTGAGAAAAGAAAAACGCAATGCAATTATAATTGGTATGTAAATGGTGCTAAGCTAGATATCGTTAATTCTTTTTGTTACCTTGGTGTTAAATTTTACTATACTGGCAACATGAAATTTGCTGTTCAGGCTCTAAACGACCAAGCTCTCAGAGCATATAACAATCTTCTTTCAGTTATAAGTAGACTAAATCTTGATATAAAAACACAATTATCACTGTTTGATTCTCTTGTAGTCCCTATACTTCTATATGGCTCAGAAGTATGGGGAGTATATAATTATAAAGAAATTGATAAACTTCATTTTCGTTTTTGCAAGAGAATTCTTGGTGTTAGAACCCAGACATCAAATGCTGCTGTGCTGGGTGAGCTTGGTCGCTTTCCATTGTCTGTATTATGTAAAGAGCGAGCATTGAAACAATGGTTAAAGATAATGAAATGTCCAGGTTCACTTATGTATTAACATTTTTTCAGAATTAAAGTCATCAGAAAATCTAAATTCAAATAATTCCTGGACTTTGTCTGTGAAAAAATTGTTAAATAATTTAGGCTATGGATACTTATGGAATGAAACAAATTTTGATAATAACTATATGTCTGTATTAAAGCAAAGATTACGGGATCAATACGTACAAGAGTGGAGCGAAACAATTGCAAATCAACCAAAACTTAAATTTTACTGTTTGTTCAAGACAGAATTTTCTTTTGAAAAATATTTGACGGTGATAGATAAAAGTTCCTGTAGACAAACAATGTCTCGATTTAGATTGTCGTCACATAATTTAGAAGTTGAAAAATGGTAGATTTGTTGGAATTGATAGAAACGATCGTATCTGTAAAATGTGTAGTACTCATGTTGAAAACGAATATCATTTTTTACTCTGTTGTCCTATTTACAGAGAGTTGCGTAAAAGATATTGTATAAACTATTCCTTTCCTACTCTAAATAAATTTTATTTTCTTTTGTCAAGTAAAAATATAAGAAAAATAAGAAATGTTGCAAAATTTACTTCATGTGCTATGAAATTAAGAGCAGAATTTCTTGCAAATATGGCTGCTCCTTAAAATATCTGTTTAAAGTACTTTCAAGTTATAGAAATATTGTTAAAATAATCGTTTGATGTATATATGTTTTTGTATGTTATATCTATATTGTATATATTTCTGTTGTCTTGGCCATCATGAAAGTTATTGTAAATGGCCAAAGGCATTTTCTCATGCCGATTTAGCCAAAATAAACTGTATAACTTATTGTAACATTTAACTTAAACTTTATAGAAAATCAGTTTTTATTACCTCCCTTTATTTACATGGAATGTTAAATTCGGTAATATTTTTACAAATAATGCTTTTTGGAACCTACAATATTGATTAATCTTAATTTGAGCATCATATTTATGATTTAAAACCATAAAAAAATTGTTACAGGATCTTTAATAAATATCTGAATAGAAATGCATACTATGTAAGGCGGCTGGGGATATGGAAATAGACTCCGTCCGTACATCCGTCCGTCCATCCATTGCCTTTTTATGTGTTTTAAATGTCAGTGTATGAGATGACTATATCGTCTGTTAATTAATTACAATTCTCCATTCGGCCTCGATCTGTGGTTGCTTCTTGTTTGAAAAGGCTTTAGCACCTTTCCATTATCCTTCACGAATATAAACAAACTGAGTCTGCAATTTTCGTGTTATTTTGTTGTTTTCATAGCCTACAAGAAATTTCCCCTTTTTTAAAGATTTTTCTTACATGTACAGACTAAAACATCACAGTAAGTTTACATCATCAAAGAAATATGATGAGCTGTTCCCCCCATATAATTGTGGCAATTACGACAGAAACTCTTATTGAACCTTCATTATAAGCCATTCACTTACGTATTATGTCCATGTATTACGCACCATACTATAGTATTAACTTCCATTTATTTCACAAAAAAATGAATACTCATTCCAGCAGTAATCACATATAAATGTGTATTTGCTGGTGTCAGCTGAAAAAAGTTGCACAGTACTTCATATCAGTTTTGTTATATCTCTATTTCGGTGTCGATCGTTAATTCCAAAATATTTTAGTTTTGAGGAAAGTATGCCACCTACGGTATATTTTGTTTAGGAACCAGTGAGATTTTTTTTACTTTGCTAGATTTCTCACGAACAGGCTCAATACAACAGAAATAGCGATTTTCATCTTTGCTTTGTTTCCAATGCTCTCAAATTACTCCCTTTTGCCAAAATGTATAACACAAATTTTGTTTAAATTAATTCTTTCAAAGCAAATGATTTGTACAGGAATATTTATCTGAATTTATTATTATCAAAACATGTACTCATTTGATAGGCATTTATAATAAATCAACATTTTTTGTAGCATTTGATGTTTGTTATGTAAATTCGAACGCTTATTCAGGAACTATATACATGTATATAGCCCTATCAGAAAGTTCCATGTTTCACATTCCAAGATAATGTAAAATCAACGTGCAAGTTCAAATGGTATGAAAACAGAACTGTTTCATGGAACAGTTCTAATTTTTCAGGTCTAAATGTTACCTTTTTTAAAATACCTTAACAACAGTTTACCTACATCTACATTTGAATGTCATACATGTACTTTCACAATTTTGACCACGCCTCAAATTTTAGTCACTAAATGAGTTAAAAAAAACAACAGAAGACGGCAGCGGCTTTCTTCAATTAATATGTTTATTGAACTACTTCTAATAATAATGATAGAAAATAAGATTAGTATAAAAATATTGGACATTAAGACTACACAAGATTAAATAGCAATTGGTTTAAATGGTGTTGGTAGTTTAAACGACATCAAAAGATTAAACAGAGATACAGTAAAATCATTTTAGCATCAAGATCTCAAGATCATACAAAGCTAGACTGCTATAGATCAAAGTAATTTTCTTTATTACTGAGTGGCTTTATAAAAATGCCAACTTTCATTCTATTCTTAGTCATCTTGTACGTGTAATTCCTGTTTCTTATTTTCTATGACTATGCATACTTACTGTGATTATATAGCCTGTAGGTGTCTTTGAAACTAGTGAGCGCATTTTGCACTTTCAATTACAAACATTATGATTATTTAAACTTATATTTAAAAATCCCAACATTATTTCGAAGTTATTTCATCATCTTTTTTGTCTTATTTAAATAAAACTCTCTAGTTACATCTTGTTCTATTTTTGGTTCATAGGACTCCATTGGAAATAAACTTTTTAACTTAATGGGCTACAGTTACTGTAGCTATCCTTGTAACCATAGATCACCTTGACCAAAATCATTGTATTATTATTTTTTTAACCTGTATAAATATTTTTATCCTCCTAATAATATATTAACATCTTTGTTAAATTTATAGACAACAATATAAAATCTTATAACTTTGAGCATTTTTTGTGCTCTTGGTTATTATGATGTTTCATGCTTGTTGTAGTCATAATCTTATCTGTGATTTTTATAATTTTAACCTTTTTCTTAACTTATATCACAGTCCATAATTTAAGTAACTCTGATCTATGATTTTGCAAAAAATAAAACGACAGTAATAAAAATATATAAAGGCCTATTGGCATGTAGCTTAATATATTACAAAGTATCAGAAGTTTCTGATATTGAGATTATACAACACATTTTTATTGTTGAAAGTACAATATTATATACCGTATATTGGTATTTATCAAAACCCAACCTAGATCTGAGTTACGTGACGCTCTGGAAAAGCGTCTGGAGAGTATTAATGTCTTAAGGTTATTTAATCTTATATTTAACTTTTAAGAGCAATAGTCATGACTAAGTAGTTACAACGTATGCATCAAAAGCAAGAAATAAGTAAAAATTATGTAATTTACGTATCTGACTTTGCCGCTAAATAAAGATTTCGGTTCAAAACAAGTTAATACTTGAGGTAGAGCACTTTACACTGTGTCAGTGCAGGCATAGACAGCTAAAGATGCATTAAATGGTCACAGTTTAACCCGTAATGTATTTAATGCAGCTTTTTCCTTAAGCTTTTTCCTTACGTACTTTGTACTTGTTAGTTATAATTTAATGAAAATAAGGTATGGGATGCTCTGTCAGGCGTAAGAAAGTTGCTTTGTGATATAGAACACTGGCTTAGGATTCATGAAACATAATGTCATCACTAAATGCACCATCCTACAAAACCAGTCTGTGCGAAAGTCTGTTGGTCCTCGGACCTCGCCAGCTAAAAATCAGGAGGGCCGAGATAAATTTCGATACAGTCAGTCCTCATGTCCGAATAAAATTTTAGATGGTTTGAAACCGGTGCATAGAAAAACCGGAAAGCACCGGATAGCACCGAAATACCGGAAAGCACTTAAATTTCTATTAAAAACATATGAAAACGTTAATTAATCGGTTTGAAAGTGTTACCAATCGATTTATTAGATTAAAATCTTTCAGACAAGTCATTTTTATATTTATATACTGATAATTATTACGAGTATTTAGGAAAATAGATATATCGAGTGCTTTCCGGTCCTGTTAAGATACATGTACATTACCGGATAGCAATATTGTTTATCAAAGTTATACATGAAAACTTTATTTTATTGGTTTGAAAGTGTTACCAATCGATTTATTAGATCAAAATCTTACAGACAAGTCATTTTTATAAAAATATATTGATAATTTTTACGATTATTTAGGAAAATAGATATATCGTGTGCTTTCCGGTCCTGCTAAGGTACATGTACATTACCGGATAGCAATATTGAATATCAAAGTAATACATGAAAACTTTATTTTATTGGTTTGAAAGTGTAACCAATCGATTTATTAGATCAAAAATCTTTCAGATAACATGTTTTTATAAATATATATTGATAATTATTACGTTTGATTAGGAAAATAAGAAATATCGAGTGCTTTCCGGTCCTGCTAGGGTACACGTACTTTACCGAATAGCAATATAGTTTATCAAAAGTAATACATGAAAACTTTATTTTATTGGTTTGAAAGTGTTACCAATCGATTTATTAGATCAAATCTTTCAGACAACATGTTTTTATAAATATATAATGATAATTATTACGAGTATTTAGGAAAACTGATATATCGAGTGCTTTCCGGTCCTGCTAAGATACATGTACATTACCGAATAGCAATTTGTTTATCCAATTTTAATACATGAAAACTTTTTTTAATTGATTAATTAAGTTGACATTATTTCAATTAAAAATATTATGATTAGTTACACGATTTTTCAAATCTTGCTCATACCATATATCTGACAATGTATCATATTTCTAATATTTTATAGGTTGTGTGAAGGACAGAAAGAGGATGTGTAAAAAGTACCAATAAGTTATTCAACAGCATCGAACCATATTTTTTCTTATTATATTTTTATATCATGTAAAATAAAGAAAAACTTATAAAATTTTCTTTCAGTTATGTCTTTATTTTTTCCATACTATGTGTACCGAAAAGCAATGTGGTCATCAGTGGAGGACAGTAGTTGTTGTATTGTTTATCACACGTGCTAATCCTTGCTGATTAAAGACCTTGTATATTGTAGCACAAAAAGGTGATGATTTAATCAATTTGTACACAATTATGATAATTGAGAGTACCGACCTGCACATCAAAGTTGCATTAATTAGACACTGTCCTTTACATGCACATTAAATTAGATAATTAGGTTTAGGTCCTCACGGCAATTCTAGACAACAAGGTGAGTTTTTACGTACGCCCGACTATGTAATGGACGAAGTCACGGATTTATTATCTCAGAACAAACCCAAACAAGTCTATGATAAGTTAGCAGCCAAATATGATGAAGTTTCCCGTCCATCCAACATTCAGAAAATCCGTGACAGAAAAAAATATAAGACAAAGAGTCAATGAACCATGTCCTTAAACAGGCCATAGACTGGAAGTCCAAGCCATTGACTGACCTGGTTGAGACGCTCCATTCCCTGGTCCAAGGTCAATTTCTGGACTTGCGTAGTGCCATTATCGGTGCTGGTGAGTTCAGACTCGCACAAACTCATTCACAATTTCAACTCACCAAATCTGTGTATGTAGACATGACGGACGAACAGAGACGCAAGCATTTTGTCCGTTTTCGACGCCACCCGTATCAAAAGCCCGGTTACATGACATCTACGGACGGACAATCGACGATTATTGCACCAAGAAACCCACGGTAAAGAACCAGGTCAACGAAAAAGAAAAATTAACACTCGGACTGTTTGACAGTGAAGAAACCAAAGACGGGATAAATATCAATGCATAAATATATTATAGATGACCGCATAAGTAAGTTCGAGTTGTGTCTTAAGATGTCATTTATGCTCATCAGGCTATATAGTCAAGCCCATACTCGAACTTATATACTACAACACAATATATTGTGTATTGATATTTATCTATGACCGATGACATTGACATGACATTCATTTTTTTTGTCTGGAATTGCAATTACACAGTGCCTGAAAATTTATGTTTGGAAAACATATATGTTGAAACATAAATATTAAGTATCAATATCAATGTATATTATATAAAAATTTATATCACGACCGCATTAGTAGGTTCGAGTGTGTCTTAAGATGTCATTTATGCTCATCAGGCTGTAGTCTAGCCCATACTCGAACTGAAATGGATTTACCATTTATATAATATAATATGCATTGATATTAATATTACATAAAAAAAATGTAGGGGTCTGCCTAATGTATATATATTTTGTAGTTTTATATGTATATAATAATGAGATAGTTATTTGTTGATTTTGTTTTTAAAACATCACTATTTGTAAATATAATTAAATTAAAGTTTAAATGACATTTCAATATCATATATAAATACCTCAATTAATCAATCATTTAAATACATCAAGTTATTGTGTATTATTAACACCTCTTTAAATGTGATAATTAAATCAGCGTGTGTCCGTTCAATCAGCGTGTGCACGTGTAATAAACGAGGCGTGAAGTGTGCCTTGATTGATTTCAATATCATACTTTTTTTTCAATTATGTATGTATATAATTATGTTTGCTAAGTTCTGTTTTTATATCTGTTTATTTTGTTCTTAGTATTTAGTTTCGTTTATTTTTATTTATTGCACTGTTTATTGTCAAAAATAAAAAAAACATCACTGAAACAATTATTGTTCTTCTCTTCCTGCTATTTTTGAATCCTCTTGTCTTCCATATAGCTACAACAAATAAATATATTATATATTAGACAAGGTACATACATTTTAAATATTTAATATACCATCTGTATGTCTGAGGTAAGAGGACCAGTGCTTTTCGGTGATGTATTACTATTACTTCACAGGACCGGAAAGCAATAATGGAATGTGCAGGACCGGAAAGCACTCGATATATCTATTTTAATATCTATTTTAAACTTTTTTTATTCGTAATATTAATTATAAAAAAATAATGTCAGGGAGATTTTTTCCTAATAAATCTCTTGGTAACGTTTTCAATTCAATACAATGAAGGTTGTACGTTTTTTAGTGAAAATTCGAGTGCTATTCGGTACATATACTTAACAAAACCGGAAAAGCATTCTCAATTTCTTTAACATTCCTAAATAATCGTTTATAATAATCATAGTACAATTATAAAAACATGTTGTCTGGAAAATTTTGATATATTAAATCGATTGGTAACACTTTCAAATCATTAAAATAAAGTTTTCATGTATTAAATTGATAAACTATATTGCTATCCGGTAAAGTAACATGTACCTTAGCAGGACCGGAAAGCACTCGATATATCTTATTTTCCTAAATAATAGTAATAATTATCATATATATTTATAAAAACATGTTGTCTGAAAGATTTTGATCTAATAAAATCGATTGGTTACACTTTCAAACCAATAAAATAAAGTTTTCATGTATTACTTTGATAAACTATATTGCTATTTCGGTAAAGTACGTGTACCCTAGCAGGACCGGAAAGCACTCGATATTTCTTATTTTCCTAATCAAACGTAATAATTATCAATATATATTTATAAAAACATGTTGTCTGAAAGATTTTGATCTAATAAATCGATTGGTTACACTTTCAAACCAATAAGATAAAGTTTTCATGTATAACTTTGATAAACAATATTGCTATCCGGTAATGTACATGTATCTTAACAGGACCGGAAAGCACTCGATATATCTATTTTCCTAAATACTCGTAATAATTATCAATATATAAATATAAAAATGACTTGTCTGAAAGATTTGATCTAATAAATCGATTGGTAACACTTTCAAACCGATTAATTAACGTTTTCATATGTTTTTAATAGAAATTTGAGTGCTTTCCGGTATTTCGGTGCTATCCGGTGCTTTCCGGTTTTTCTATGCACCCGTTTGAAACTTGTAGGCCTGAGTTAGAATGAACCAACTTTACAGGAATATTATAATCAACATCACTAAATTACAGGCATATTGATTCACATCACTGTGAAGCTATGAACCTGGGACTTTGCATGTGGATTTTTTTCAGTTTTGTTAGAGTTATTGCCCTTGACTTACAGTAGTATAAATTTGCAATTTTCAACTTGTTCATGCATAGCTCAAAAAGTATTTCACTTGGAGGCCTGAAAGTTTACAAGAATGTTGGTCAGCATGTGTACTTATGCACCTTGGGGTTCGCTTGTGGATTTATTCAGTATTTGTAAAGTTTTTGCCCTTTACTTAGTAAAAGATTTTTAATTTTCAAAAAATATTTGACCTAGAGTCATAAGATTGACAGAACAGTGGGGCAATGGGGGCACCCGGGCCGTGTCCTATGGACACATTTCTAGTTTCATTCTCATGTTTATTTATTATTGAAAATGGTTGCACATTCTACTTTTAGAAAACTGATGTAGAAGAAAAATTAGAGAAATATCACCATGACAGAGAAAAAAGTTACGATTCTACATTTTAACGATGTGTACAATATTGAGCCGCAGAAAATTGAACCATCTGGTGGGGCAGCCAGGATGACTCATTATGTGAAATCATTAAAGGATGAAAATCCTCTTGTATTGTTCAGTGGGGATGCTCTTAATCCTTCTTTAAGTAAGTAAAATTCTCCTATATATAATGAACTGATCTCTTTTACTGTAACATATGAATATTCTTTTCAATAATCTAGAGAACATAATAGATCATTGTCAAAATTAGAGTTTATAGATCATTTGCATCATTTGTAATATTTTATAAGAATCAACAGAAATAGCTGCTTTATCTAGGTAAATAGGGTTAGGGTTACCCTAACCATCTAGGTAAATTATTTTTTGATAATGGTACTATGTATTAGAGAACAATATTTTACATGTAGATTGATATATATGTCAGGTTACAAGAATTTAAGTGACAATCTATGAATGGTTAAGCATGGTTAAGCACGTTAATGAACTTCTAAAGGTTCTTTCTTTTAAAAATAATTATGAATTACATTGATGAATTAACATGCCACTGAATAAATAATGGTCACAAAACAGTCAATACTGTCAAAAACTATAATTTATACATACATTTTGTATGTAACAATAGGCACACTGACTTTTTTAAACCTTCTTTTTTATGCTTTTAAGTTTTTAAATTTTAGAATCTTATCAAAAACTTCCAACACAGTTTCATTTATAAAGGCAGTTGGAAAAAAGAAGTCACTTCCAGTTTTTACATAATTTGTGTTCCAAGGAAAGGCAGTGTCATACCCTACATGATAGTGTCAGTAGAGTCATTGTTTAGGGAAAGATCATTATAACTGCATAAATTATCTTACTAATCATTGTCTAGTATGATAATGTACATATAACATTTTGCAAATGAAGTTTATTCAAATAAAAGTTTTCCTTCCTGATCTTAGCCCTTAACCTTCTGGCACCAAAAGTTATAGACCTTTGCTACAGATCTGTTAGCTGAATCTGTTCAATCTTGATATCCCCAATATTGATATTGGACAGTCTAAAAAAGGAAGCTTGAATGACCAATCCATAATACCATTTAAGAAATTCAAGAGTTAGTTTAGTCATGTTAATTAAGTGATTATAGAGTTTTGTGTAATTAAGTAAAGATGTATTGTATCACGTTAAATGTATATGTAATTTTGAATATTTTTCAGTGAGTATATTTTTGAAAGGTAACCAGATGATACCAATGTTAAATGCCATACAGGTACAATGTGCAGTGTATGGTAACCATGACTTTGGTAAGTCAATTAACATGTTTTAAATATTGATGTTAAATGTCTTAAAGGGACTACACTGAGATTATTTGAAATGACAGGATTGGAAATATTTTTTTCTGGATTTGTATACTATTTAATGAGCCAAATGGCCCAAAAATGAAAAGCGTTGCAATGCTTTTTACTCATATTAAGCTAAGAATTGCACTAACCATTAATATTCAATTTAATTTTGAGTATATTTCTGTATCATCATTGAAGAATTTTCATTTTAAGTGCTTCATTTTGGCAGAGTGGTTTCAAAAAAGTTGATGTAAAAATTTCAAGTTTTCTGTTTTAGGCTTTTTTTACCTCAGTAGAGTTACTTTTGATAAAGGGATTGTAAACATTAGCACATTTTTGTGATCACTTCTCTGTCGTCTGTCTGTCTGCACTCACAGGAGAGTAATTATGTGGCTAGAGGGACAATAGGTAACTGTTCTTTCTCTTTGATGTCATTCATTCCGTAATGATTTTATGTGGCTATTTTCTTTTGTGTGGCTAAAAAGAACAATAGAGAGAACAATAGAGTAGCCACATAATTACTGTCCTGTGAGAACGTCCGTCTGTCCGTCAGTCACAAAACTTGTCCGGACTACTCCTCATAAACTGCTGGTGCAATTTCATCCAAACTTTACAGGAATGATCAGTACCAAATCTAGTTGTGCATATTGTCAGTATTTTCAGGTTCAATGATTTTTGTCAGAGTTATGGCCCTTTAATAATTTTTATTTGTAAAGTTTGTCCGGACTACTTCTCTTATACCACTATTGCAATTTCAATGAAACTTTACAGGATTGATCTGTAGCTCAAGTCCTTGCGCATATTGCACGGGTTTTTCGGTTGAATGATTTTTGGCCGAGTTATGGCCCTTTGATAAAAAGGTGTTTTTTTTTTCTGTGTGTTGCCAGATAAACAAAAGCTTGTCCGGACTACTCCTCATAAACTACTGGTGCAATTTTATCCAAACTTTACAGGAATGATCAGTAACAAATCTAGTTGTGCACTGTCCGTCTGTCACAAAACTTGTCCCAACATGAAATTGGCCATCATGAGGCGACACATGTGATCACTGATTGCTCTTGTTGATACATGTGTGTTGTTCTAAACTAAATAAATAGTAATCAAGGAAAATACCTTTACATCTTCCTTAAAAATCTTTAAAGGAGCTCCACTGACATCCAAAAAACCTATAGAATTTTAAAATCTTATGTAGATCTGGGACACTCAAAACAAAAAGAAATTATGAAAAATGTAATAAAGAAATGTACCCATAATTAAATTGAAAGTTGATGTCTAGTGTTATTTTTAGCCTGATTCTTATTTGAAGAATTTAAACTCTTTTTACATTTTACAGTCAACTTGTACAATCAAATGATTATTTTGGAACAAAAGAATGAGCAAGTGATGTGAAATTGTGTACACAAGTTATTGGTATGGACCTTCATCATCAAATGGAATAAAATTCTCTGAAAAAAATATTTCCAGTTTCAAAACCTCAGTGTAGTCCATTTTAGGGAAGATATATGAAGAGGACAAAAGTAAAATCTTAGAAGTGTATGATTGCATGATTATCTTGATTGTTATTTCTATAAAAGCCCTGAGGGCCAAAGATCAGCAGTCATGGAAAATGAAGCTTATTAATTTGGCATAGTAGTTTCAAAAAAATTGATAAAATTGATGTAAATTTATTTTTCAGATTTTGGTGTTGACCATTTAGAGGATTTTGCGGAGCAGACAAATTTTCCCTGGTTGATGAGTAATATCACAGATAGGTTAACATTTAAACCATTAGCTGAAGGCAAAGTGAAACATATGCTAGACTGGCACGGTGTTAAGGTAGGTCAATTTTCTACTGTAAATCAGGTAAACATTTTTTATGTCATATACATGAAACTGAGAATTGAGTTTCTTTCGATGTAAGATCTTCACTTCCCAAAATTTTTATACCGATAACAGCCATGTGACAGCTATATGAAGTTGCCCCATACTTCATCTCAGTGTTATTATGCTTTTAGTTTATATAGAATTTATTTTAGTTTGATTGTGTAGGAAGCTATAAGCTTATAGACACACTTTCAAATATGTTCCTGGAACCAACCAGTACTGAGCAATAAGTGTAAAGTTTCTTGCTCAAAGAAACATAGACTTGCCCAAGACAGGGTTTGAACACATGCTGTCGGCGATCATTACATTACCAGCCCGACATGCCACCAGTACAATTTGGTAACTATTTATTATGTTTTATACTTAAGCAGGTGCTACATGCTAGTGGCATGACAGATGTTGCAGTTTCATTTATCTTTCTGGACAATTCATTTGGTGACACCTTCTTAAACTATAAAACAAAAATCAAAATACCATATTTTATATCATTTAAAGTAAGTGGAGAACTTTGCTATGTATTTTCAGATAGGGTTAATGGGTCTGGTAGAGGAGGAATGGATTGATACTTTATCTACTATAGACCCTGAAGATATCATTTTTGAAGATTTTGTAGAAGTTGGAAACAAGTTAGCTGCTGAACTCAGGGAAGAGGTGATGTGGAAATTAAAAGATTTTTTATGTTGTTTTTTTTTGTAGTGTATAAATACTTTGTTTTACAGGCAAGAAAAATTAATTTCAATTAACAGCAATTTTCTAAAATGTGCAGACATTTTTTATGAAAGAAGTGTATATTATTACCACAGATTACTCTCATCTGAAGTACACCACCTAGATAGTTATTTTCCTGTATATATGTATGTGTATCTGTTGTATAATATGCAAGCTGAAAGTTTTCTACATGGAACTTTACTTAAATTTAACTGCATTGACCAACATTTGAGAAACTCATGTACATGTACTCTTATCTGTAGAAATTTTCTGTACATTAGTGTGTGGTTTTCAGGTAATACTGAGCATATTTCTTTGTAAGCTTTTACATATCTTACTGTTTTAGTGCCCAAATTGATCTATGTTAGGAATTCGAATTCAAATTCTATGTTTTTAGGTGTTTGCATGTCCTGATTCTTTTGTTTAAGTTTTTATTTAAAATGTTTTGAATTTTTCATGTGATTTGATACATATGTTACATATGTATACATAATGTATACATGTATATCTATTTGAACAGGGCGCAGACTTGGTGATAGCATTGACTCACATGAGATGGCCAAATGACAGAAAGTTAGCCCAGTGTGTTGACGGTCTAGATATTGTACTAGGAGGACATGATCATGACTTTAATGTAGAAAAAGTAAGATTTTGCCTTCTTTAACCCTTCCACTAATGGAACCAAAAATTAGCTAGCCTATGACACTAGTATAGGCCTATACATCCTTGCATTCAGACCAGCCTCTATACTGTTGGCTGACCAACTTAAGTTTTTCAACTTTATATTCCCAAAAAAGATAAATGGACAGTTCAAAAATGGAAGCTGGACAAGTTCATTTAAGAATTCTGCAGGTTAAGAGTTGAGTACCATGTGGAAATTGAAGGTTGAAGAGTACTAAATCTAAAAGATGGTTTGATGGGATAAAATATAAGATGCTTAAAGAGTCATTTGAATGAAAATGATTTTAAATAAGAAATTTTGGAATAATGAATCGAATTGTGAAATATATGCAGCAAACATAATTGTAATATTATTAAGTTACCGTTAACCGTGAAATATATAATGATTAACTCTAATCTGTGAGAGTTGTACATGTCAGCCATTGGTTGAAATATATTAAATGAGAACAGATTTAAAAATGGCAATTGTTGATATTTCCAGGTAAATGGAAAGTATGTGATAAAGAGTGGTACTGACTTCCGTAACTTAAGTAAGATAGTAATGACAAAAACTGATGACAAAGTGGACGTTACAGTGGATTGTGTAGATCTAGATTCTAGTATCCCAGAAGATGAAGATCTGAAAAAAGAAGTCTTTAAAATAACAGGTTAGATGTTGAAAAATATTAATTTTAACTCTCTGAATATAGAATTCTGACTTGTGATAATGATGTGCCTAAAGTCAGCAGTGTAAAAACAGTCCTGCTTGATTAGACACTATAGCATGGCTGCTGGATGTAAACATTGTAATATTGAATTACCTCATGTTAAAATGTAACAAGTCTATGAATAGATCCCTATATGTCTCTGTCTTGTCTATTTCAATTTGATTATCAGATTATTGCATTACAATAAGAATTTCACCACAACATATTTGTTAACAAAAAGCACATGCCAGTGATTGTGGTCAGAGCAATTGCATTTATTATTCTACCCGAAAAATTTTGGGGGAGCATATAGTTGCTGGGTTGTCCATTTGTCCGTCAGTCCGTACGAACCCAGAGGTACTTGTGTGACGTGGAGATCAATGGGTAACAGTAAATTCTCTTTTTTATTCATTCCGTTTTTACTTGTGTGTCTTTTTTTAAGCCTTGTGTGACTAAAAATGGCAAAAAAGATCAAAGGAAAAGTCACATAAGTACCATTTTGTGAGTACGTCCGTCCGGCCATCCGTCCGTCCATACGTACGTATATCCCGAATTTGTGTCCGGCCCATAACTTTGTTATTTGAAGTCTGATTTTAAAACTATTTCACAGAATTGATCACCATATTGAGACGATGTGTCACGCGCAATGGATGACTACCTTGAAGGTCAAGGTCACAGCATGACCTTGCAGCAAAATCGTGTCAGGCCCATAACTTCGTTATTTGAAGTCAGATTTAACAATTATTTCACAGAAATGATCACCATATTGAGACAATGTGTCGAGCGCAACATTTGGGTTGTTTTTACACTTTGAACTTTGTCTGTGACATAATTCTGACACTACAAGAGGTATATACTCCTGTGTCCAAAACCTATTCGGGGAGCATCTCCCGGTTCAAGAGTACAGATGTACAAGATAACTCATTGTATAGATAAAATACTTACACATGTAATCAAGGTTTTTGTATAACTAGCAAGTGATGATGTATTTAAAAATGGGTTTTTTGTTAAATTTCAAAATATCAGGTAGATACTTTTTCTATAGGTTTTAATGTACTGTGTACAGTTCATTTATGTTTTATTGATGGTGTTCAAGTTTATCTTATATTTCAGCTGAAATAGACAAAAAGATGGACGAGTATCTAGGAAGCATGGGTGTATCAATGGATGGTAGATTCGCTTCTATAAGAACCATGGAAACCAATTTAGGTAAGGTTATATCTTCATCATTCTATTTAATTTTTGGGAAGTTGATGACTTTTTTTCATGCAGTTAACAATAATTCTAACACATACACCAATTTCTTTCTAACTTAATAACAAAAACAACTTAAGCTTTGGTCCTGGTACCAAAATGTAATACAACTTTTTTGTAATCATCTATTTTATCACATATCCGTGCCCATTTTGCGACTCCGTAAAAATGGTATTGCATGGCCACGTCATTTACATTATACAAACATAATATAAAGATGTGCTAAACTAAACTATAGGTGCGTCAATGACAAATTATTCTTTTGCACTTTAAGCAGTCTTTATTTTGGATATGTGATAAATAGAATATTATATTCTTGTAGGTTCATAACTGAAATTATTGAACTTGTTAAATAAAATAATATTTTGCTCATCAGAGGCTAGCATAGTGTAATTTATTCAACTTTTTCAATAAATACAGTATTGAGCCTACAGTCATTCAATATCCTTTATATATTGCAGGAAATTTTGTAACAGATATTATATTAGAAGCAGTGCCTGCAGATATATGTCTCATCAACTCGGGAACATTTAGATCTGATAGAATACATCAAAAAGGCGAGTTCCGACTGCGGGATCTTCTCACAATATTGCCATTAATGGACCCCCTTGTTGTCATTGAAATCTCAGGTAAATGTTTTATAAAGTTATACATTATAGACAGTATTGATACATGTTTGTGATTTCCTTTAAAGTTTTGGAAGCATTTAAAGAGGATGTATCTTTAAATGAAGTTTTTGTTGCTGAATAATTGAACTTCTAGCAGTCATATATTGTTAGTATGCATAATTTCTAAGGATAAGGTTTGCCTTTTATGCATAATTTTATATTCCCTGGGGACGAAATTATATTTTCTTTTAACCATGAACATGTAGTGTAAAAACATTGAACTTTTTTATAGGACAATTATTTTATTTGGTCAAGTAAAAAGAGGTTAATTCCAATTGAGCTTTCTTTGAAAATAGATAAGAAACTTTAAACAAGAAGTTTTTTACATCTACAGACATTGCCAATGTTTTTTTAGCTCACCTGAGCACAAAGTGCTCAAGGGTGAGCTTTTGTCATCACTCTGCGTGCAACGTACGTCATGCGTCGTGCATCCTTCAAAATATGGCGTCAAACTTTTCAAACAACATCTCCTCCTAAACCACATGGCCAATTGCAACCAAACTTTACAGAAATGATCCTTAGGTGGACCCCTTTCAAAGTTGTTCAAAAATTTAAATTCCAGTAAAAACTCTGGTTGCCATGGCAACCAATAGGAAAAACTTATATATCTTCTTTTAAAAAAACCCTAAGAGCTAGAGCTAAGATATTTAGCATGAAACATGTTCTATTGGGTGTCTACCAAGTTTGTTCAATCAAAAGCCCTGGGGTCAAAATTGCCCCGCCCCATAGCAAAAACTTAAAAAATCTTCTTTGAAAAAACCCAAATAGCTGGAGTTTAGATATTAAGCATGAAACATCTTCTGGTGAGTGTCTACAAAGTTTGTTCAAATAAAAGCCCTGGGGTCAAAATTGGCCCCGCCTTGGGGGTCATTGATTTTCCTTATATGTGTATAGCAAAAACTTAAAAATCTTCTTTGAAAAAACCCAAATAGCTAGAGTTTAGATATTAAGCATGAAACATCTTCTAGTGAGAGTCTACCAAGTTTGTTCAAATAAAAGCCCTGGGGTCAAAATTGGCTCCGCCCTAGGGGGTCTTTGATTTTCCCTATATGCATATAGTAAAAACTTAAAAAATCTTCTTTTAAAGAACTCAAAGAGCTAGAGCTAAGATATTTAGCATGAAACATCTTCTAGTGAGTGTCTACCAAGTTTGTTCAAATAAAAACCCTGGGGTCAAAATTGGCTCCGCCCCAGGGGGTCTTTGATTTTCCCGATATGCATATAGTAAAAACTTAAAAAATCTTCTTTTAAAGAACTCAAAGAGCTTGAGCTAAGATATTTAGCATGAAACATGTTCTTATGGGTGTCTACTAAGTTTGTTCAAATAAAAGCCCTGGGGTCAAAATTGGCCCCGCCACAGGGGGTCATTGATTTTCCTTATATGCATAGAGTAAAAACTTAAAAAATCTTCTTTTAAAGAACTCAAAGAGCTAGAGCTAAGATATTTAGCATAAAACATGTTCTAATGGGTGTCTACCAAGTTTGTTCAAATAAAAGCCCTGGTGTCAAAATTGGCCCCGCCCCGGGGGGTCATAGATTTTCCTTATATGACAGTGTATAGCAAAAACTTAAAAATCTTCTTTGAAAAAACCCAGATAGCTAGAGTTTAAATATTAAGCATGAAACATCTTCTAGTGAGTGTCTACCAAGTTTGTTCAAATAAAAGCCCTGGGGTCAAAATTGGCCCCGCCCCAGTGTGTCTTTGATTTTCCCTATATGCATATTGTAAAAACTTAAAAAATCTTCTTTTAAAGAAGCCAAAGAGCTAGAGCTAAGATATTTAGCATGAAACATCTTCTAATGAGTGTCTACCAAGTTTGTTCAAATAAAAGCCCTAGGGTTAAAATTGGCCCCGCCCCAGGGGGTCATTGATTTTCCCTATATGCATATAGTAAAAACTTAAAAAATCTTCTTTTAAAGAACTCAAAGAGCTAGAGCTAAGATATTTAGCATGAAACATGTTCTAATGGGTGTCTACCAAGTTTGTTTCAAATAAAAAGCCCTGGGGTCAAAAATTGGCACCGCCCCGGGGTCATTGTTTTCCTTATATATTGTATCGCAAAAACTTAAAAAATCTTTTTTGAAAAAAACCAAATAGCTGGAGTTTAAGATATTAAGCATGATACATTTTCTAGTGAGAGTCTACAAAGTTTGTTCAAATAAAGCCTGGGGAAAAAAACTGGCCCCGCCAGGGGTTTTT